GCCCTCCAAACATGCATTGCTGATGCACATGGATCGCGATCGGCTACAAGACGTCCTGACAGAAGCCCGGGTCCCTGAAGGCCTGCAGGACCTCGTTTTGGCCAGAGGTTTTGACTGCCCGTCCTTCCCCAACATTGCAGACTTGCAGCCTTTCATAGTCGCTGCCAGGGACTTCTGGACAGCCAATAACATAGAGGATCCAGAATCTAGTGTGGCAGCAGCGCGCCTTAGGAAAGCCCTAGCCGAGTGCCATCGGCTCAGCCTTCGCTCAGAGCCTCCCGAACCGGCCGCCAGCTCCGGGTCGCCATGCACTCAGCCCAATCAAATCGCATCTTGGGCAGAGCACTTGCCACCCAAGCGCGTTCGGATGTGAGACCTTCGAGCTGCTGGACGCTGACACCACGCCGTCCATCCGCCTTCTGAGCCTAGTACGAGGGCCTGAAGCCCGGGCAGTCCCTGAAGTGGGTGCCCTGGCAGTATCGCCTTTCATCACGGCAATACCAGGAACGCATGGAAGCAAAGTCGGCCCGAGCCGTGCGCTCAGAGTTGCAGCTCCTGAGTCAGGCCTTCTTTGACGACACACCGGAGGTGTCCGTGGAGCACCACTCGCTGTCAGCAGGGTGGCTCACCCGCATCCAGACCTGTCGAATCTCAAGGCCTTCGACAAGAAAATAGCCGACCTGTGTCTCACACAGCCAGATCCTAACTTAGGCCTTCGTACGGTGAATACCCAAGAGCTTTTGTCAGCTGATCGCAAGCTCTGGGCAGCCATATCCGACCTTCTAGGGCAGCAGTGGTCCCTGGATGATGCCTTGTACGAGCTGACGCACATGAGAAACGATGTGCACAGCCTCCTACAGCTGCGCCCAAAAATGTCCAAGCCATCCGTGCCAGCACCGCCACGCCCCGCAACACCAAGGCAAAGGGGATCCAAGCGCGACCTTAAGCCAGCCCGCATGCCTTCACGCCCCACCAAGAAAGGCAAGGGGAAGTCCAAAGGAGCCTCGCCATCGCCAAAGCCCAAGGCAGAGTGGTGCACTACCTATAAAGGGCGCGAGGTTTGCCGGCGCTACCAGACGGGCAGTTGCACTAATGACCAGTGCCTTTTCGCCCACGTGTGCGCCATAGTAGGCTGCCAGCAAAAGCACCCCGCCATGGATCACAACAAGCACACGTGAAATAGCCCGGATCTTGGACCGGCACAGGATCGGGCAGCCATGCTGCCGCCGGCCTTGCCCCACAGCGGGCCTCATGCGCCGTTCTCACCATTGCATGTGCCAGTGGAAGCTGCCCTGACTCCAGCCTTGCCCTATGCGCACCGTGGCGAGCCAAGCGCCTCGCCGAGGCCACACACGCCCGCCCAGGCAAGCTCCTCAAAGTCACCGTTGCATCCAGCCTCAAAGCGGCTCTTTTTGGACGTGTTTGCAGGTAGGCTGCACCCGGTAACGTCGGCAGCCATTAGCCTTGGCCTTGACTGCTTCGAGCCCTTCGACCTAGATGGAGACACTGCGCACGACATCCTGGATAACGAAGTCTTCGAGGCCCTTCTCAGACTCTGCTGGTCAGGAATCGTGGCCATGATAATGCTTGCCCCGCCTTGCAAAGAAAACTCCAGACTCAAACTACGCCCGGGCGGGCCCAAAGCCTTAAGAACGCCGCAGTACATGGACGGGGTCCCCGGCCTTTCGCCTTCACAGCGTAAAAAACTGCTGGATAGCAAGACCATCCACGACCGTGGCAGAGCCCTGTTCAGAGCAGTGGTCTCCAAAGGAGGCGTCGGCATTTGGGAACAGCCGCCATCAGCCATGTCCTGGCTGGAAGAGGCCAACTTCCAAATGCTACGTGATCACCAGTGTGCCCTGGTGTGGGTAGACGCCTGCAGGCACAACAAAGCCTTCTCCAAGTCATGGGCGTTCGGCTGCAACAGTTCGAAAATACGGGCCCTGGAGGCCCGTTGCAATCACTCATACAAGCACCGAAGCATTGCAGGCGTGAAAGAACAAGGGGTATACCTCAGCACTCTGACCGCGGAATACCCTCCTTGCCTGGCCCTGCAACTGGCCCAGGTAGGCATAGGAAGGGTCAGTAAAACAGGCTCCTTCCGACAAGCACTGCCATTGCACTCCGACTTCTCCAGACCCATCACACTGGCGCCTTGCAGGCTCCCCACCTGCGACGGAGCAGGAATGCACTCCTCCGCAGATTGGTGCTGTCCCAAACCAGAACCCGCTGCAAGCAGTCGCCAGGCCCTGGCTGCATTGGATGCATGAGCGCAAACTGGTGCCACGAATCCTGGCACACATCAAAAGCGGTTCTCCGGACTGCCCCCTCTCGCCGTCCGAGAGCCTGGAAGTGGCAACTCTAGCATACACAGCTCTAAAATTGCCCTGCCCTTCAGACATGAGCCCCCGAGGCAGGACAGCCATACAGACTCCACCTGCTGCAGGCCCTGGCCAACTCTTGGGGTGACCCGGACATGGCCCTCTTGCCATTTCTGCAACACGGGGTACCGACAGGAGCCGTGTCAGCCTTGCCACCCAGCCTTCAATGGCCGGCAAAGAAGCCAGACTCCGCGCTGCCGCCGGATCTGGAAATTTGTGAGGGCAATTGGAAGATGGCCGAGGACGAGCCAGAAACCGTGCAAGGCTTGCTGCGCAATGAAATTGCCAACAACTGGATTGTAGAAACCAGCCTTAGCATAGCCGACGCTCGGGAAAAATTGCCCTTAAGCATTGCCGTAGGCAAGTTAAACGTTGTTTTTGCAGAAGGGAAAGAGCCACGCCTTGTCTTGGACAGCACCGTGTGCCAAGTGAATACCAGATGCCATCTGCCAGAGCGCCTGAGCTTGCCAATGGCATCGGACCTGGCGTTGTCCACGCAGCCAGAAGACACTCCAGGCGCCTTCGTAGGCGCCAGCATTGACTTCAAAGCCGCACACAAACAGGTGCAAGTCCGCCCGGAAGAGCATGGCCTTCTACTCTTCGCCTTTCAAGGAAAGCTCTACCATTACAGAGTGTGCCATTTTGGGGGCCGTTTCTCGGCATTCTGGTGGCAGCGCACCGGCGCATTCTTGCTTCGCCAGGTGCATGGATTGCTGGCCTGGAAGCCCCACAAAGCCTTCCTTTTTGTGGACGACCTTCTGTGTGCACTCTTCCGGGATAGCGCACCAGATATGTTTGCCTTGGTGGTGCTTTTCTTTTGCGCCGTTGCAGCCCCGGGGCACTTGGCCCGCCGCGTTCCACACTCGCGTCTTCCCCTCGTTGAGGCGCACGTGGCAGTGTGCTTCAAGCTGGTGGGCCAGGGTGCCATGCACATGTTCAACCGGTCCGGCCGGTGGACTACAGCGTAGACATCGTCCAAAAAGGCTACCAAGGTTTCCTCACGCAAATGGTTGTGCGCTGCCTGCAGTGCTGGCTGCTGGCCAAGCAAAGCTGGCATTAAGGGGTCTCCTTGCTCACCCCCCTCTGCTTGCCGGACGATGTGCGGCACTCCTCCCGAATCGTGCCAAACATACTCCGAGGGCTCGGAGTAAAACATCCGGACAAACGGGAGACACTCAATTGCCCCCGGCACGCAAAGCAGGCCATGCAACATGGACTGGCGACTCATAGGGCCTTAGCCTTCCTTGATGACTTGTACCTCGCCACCCAGCCTGAACGGGTTCGCCCTGTGTACCATGCAGTAGCCCGATGTTTGTGGGAACACGCTCGCGTTTCGAACGCAGGAGGTGTTGAGCCGCCAGGCCGGGCGCACATACCTGAAGCCGACCAGGGATCACGATCCTGGGAGCCCCTGTCGGTTCGGATGCATTTGTTCGGGCCCAGCTCGGCGCTGTGCGTGACAGCCGGCAACGCTTCTTTGCAAGTCGCGTGGCTGTTGTTGCTGTACCGCGCGTCGCCCAGGTCCAACATGCCAGTGTCTGGCCTCCTTACTGTTCGGTGCCGATTCTTGGCCCACTTCCTGACCAGTCCGCTGCGCAAGCACAGTTGGCCTTGCGGCATGGCGGTTAGGACTGCGCCCCGCCGAGGCGCACACACCTGCAGCCTTGTGGGCTTCTTGGGCGGACAGTTTGCCTGCCATCCGAAACCGTGACCCAGACCTAGCCCAAGTTATTGCGTCCAGTCCGCATTCTGGCTGATTTGCAGGCGGCCAGTGCACACTGCCGTCGTGGCTTGCTCCGCAGTGCTTGATTTGCGTAGGGCTAGCGCCTACAGTGACGGCCTTGATCCAGCATCCCTTGCCTTGCTACCGCGGCGGCTCCGCTGTTCCTGTGGCAGTTTGCAGGACCCTCTTGGGGATCATCGGTCGGCGTGCCAGCGTGCCGGTGTGCTGCGCGCGCGTGGTTGGAGCGTGCGGCTGCGCGCGTGCGCCGGGAGGCCGGGGTGCTAGTCACCACACACACCCTTGTCCGGGACCTGAATGTGCCCCGAGCGATGACCGCCGGATCAAGGTCATAGCCAACGGGCTGCCGTTGTGGGGTGGCTTGCAAATAGCAGTCGACACGACACCTGTGTCTCCGCTTACGTGTGCTGCAGTTCCTCGGCGGCGCCAAGGCCGGGCCGAAGGGGCGGCGTTGCGCATTGCCCGCCGCGCCAAGGAACGCACGTCCCCTGAGCCGCTGGCGCCCCAATCTCGCTGCCGGCTGGTCGTGATTGCCCTTGACGTGGGTGGACGCTGGAGCGCCGAAGCCGTTGACTTTGTCCGGCAACTCCGTTCAGTACCGGAGCGGCTGCGCAGTGTGCTGACTGTGGCATACGTGAGGCGATGGTGTTCTTTGCTTGCCGCCGCAGCATCCCGGGCCTATGCCGCTAGCTTGCTGGCTGCGCCTGTGCAGTCCACTGCCAACGTTGACGGCGCCCCGCCGTTGGTGCGCATGCTAACTTGCTGTGCGGCTGCAAGACCGGCCGTTGCCCTGCTGCCGTCCGGCGCTCTGGTCCACCTCCCTTCAGTCCCGAGGAGTTTCGGCGCTCCCCGCTCACAACTGGTCACAGCCCCGCGTGATGACGCGCGCTCGGCGACTGCCGCCCCTTGGCGCAGACGTCGTCGACAGCGTGCCTCTGTTGCTGACGCCCGTCGCAGGGCCCGCCTCGGCTGATGCAGAAGTGGGGCACCAGCGTGGCAACAGCAGCGGCGTCACGTCCGGCTTGCTGTGCGAGACTGGCGCGCCTATCTTGCTTCCCGACGCCGCGTCTAGCAGCGACAGTGCTCCACCGCAGGTGCCACGGAGCGGCGCGGATCCTGCGTGCAGCGTGGGTTTGGCTTGACTCGGTGGATCTGGTTGCCGCCTGCTTCCACAGCAGCACCGGGCACGCCACTGCACCCGGCTGTTGCCCACGGGCGGCGGCAGCGGTCGCCTTCGCGCTCACCCGCCGCCGCAGCGCAGCGGGGCGCCTGCAAAAACATGGAGGTGGATGTGGCGAATGCGGGCAGCCGCGTGTGCCGCCGCCGCGAAGGGTCTACTGCCCCGTGCCCCGCTGCCCATGCGCGATGGCTGGAGGGCGAGCGTCAAGGCCTTTGCGGGAGTCGGTGCGACCGAGCGCCGCGATCATGCCACTGCGCTCGTCCGGAGGGTTGCGAGCGCCGCGCCTGCAACACCTTGCTCTCGCACGGCCTTTGCCCGGACACGCAGGATTTGATGCTGCCGGCCTGGCCGGCCGCCCGGCGGTTTGCGAGGCTTTGCCCCGCCTGCCCGACCACCCCATGGGCGCCGACTTCGCCCTGCGGAGCAAGCAAAAGCTGCTTTCCCAGCGTTTGGACGATTTGGGGTGGGAGCAGCAGCTTGCCGCCGCGGGCGCGGGCTTTTTTCACTGCCCGTGTTCGTGGCATCGCTTGCTGGCGGCGGAGGCCACGGAGCCCCAAATGCTACGGCGTCATGGATCGCCACTCTCTCCAAGGCGCAACCGCCCGGCTTCCTTCTCCCACAATTCCCAGGCGCGTCCCGCCGACGTCTACCTGCTTCCGTGGACACCCGGCCGCACGTGACCTCGCCGTCACGGCCAGGCTGCCCCTTGGCACGGCCGAGGAGTGCCGGCGACAGGGCACCCACTTCCAACCCATAGTGCTGGAGAGCACCTGAGGCTGCCAAGATGCTCAAGGACATCGCCCGGGAGGCCGCTGCCAGTGAGGGAGCCGACATCCCGGACTTGCACGGACGCCTGCTGCAGGAGCTCTGCGTCGCCGTGCGTGGGCACCGCGCCCCGCGCCAGGGCAGTGCTGCGGCGCCGCGCCGAGCTGGCTGCTGAGGCCCCTGGCCGGTGGCAGGCCAAGGCTCCTACGGCTTCTTGATGTTTGAGGTCTCCTGTGCACGGCAGCTGTTCTGCGAGGAAGACATGGCTGCCTTCACACGCGGCTACTCCGCTGTGCTGATGCGAGTAGGGCCTCTGAGTGCTTGTCCCGTCGGTCAACTTCTTGAAGCCTTTGGTTGCTGAATATCTCCCCGCTCAGTGGCTGGTAGCGCCGGACCGCTCCTCACTAGATCAGAAGTTCTCAAGTCCCATTTGATCCGGCTTGGTGTGCATACTCGCAATTCGTAGTGCCTGGAGCTGGCCCACCCCCCAGCTGCTCTTAGCATATGCAGCCGTTTTTTTTCCCGAGCAAACTTTATTAATTTGCGGTTCCCCGAACTATTCTTGAAGTGATGTGTGCAATCTAAAAAATAAGTTGTAACAATGTTCAACCTCATCCTTTGAGTGTGAGAAGCTGGCCTCCATAAAACAGCCGCCAAGAGCCTTGCGCCCGGGGGCATCGCCTAACCTGCTTTTCTGGGAGGGGAGGGGAGAGCCAAACAATGGAAAAAGGCGCGCGAACACAAAATAAAGAAATAAAACAAAATACAATGCATGACGATTGGCCTTGCGCACATGCACGCAATCGCTCGAGCAATCTGGCCACTTGGAGCCTAAGACAGCCGCCACGATCACATAGGGGCATGGGGTGAAAAATAAAACATACATCAAATCCACAAATCCATGTACCTCGGTTCAAAACCTTCAGCGCGGGACTTCCCCTGCAAAGTCTTGGCTGCACCCCCATTTCACGTTTCCGCATGGCGGAGAAAACGCGCGCGGGAAAAAGCAAAGAGCATAAATATTCAAGTCATACGTCGCAATCCTCTGAACCAACATTGTTTCCCAGATGCTTGAGACCCCGTCTAGCAACCGCATTCCATCAGCTTGGAAGTCTAAAACCTTGCGAGGCGGAAAAAAAGGTGAGAAGAACACAACACACACACACACACACACATGTGGCAAATGGAACGTTGCCAGGGTAGTTGGACCGGGGAAATGTGCCAAAAGCCCCGGGTTTGTCAACATTCTTGTCAACGTGCCCGCCCGTCGATACACGTGCCGCAGCTTGAGAGGACTTCCTTAAAAAAGAACATGTTCGCATTGCTATGGCGCAGGTAACCTGCACTACTTGCAATTCAATCTCGAATAAACAGACTATGTTTGGACATGACAGAACGAAAAAGAAGCGCAGAAGGCTTCGTGGCACCATTTTTTTTTAATGTTTCTGCAAGTGATGAAGCAACAGGCGACTTGATCCATTTATGTGTACGCAGCACCTTTTGCTCTGGCGAGGGTGCAGCCAAAGGCGAGCGCAAAGTCAGCTCGGTCTTTGGAGGATGGCCCAGGCCGGCAGCTCACGGGTTCCAAACGGATTTCCTTCTGCCAAGCAGAGGTCGTCCCGCTTTTAGCCCTGACCGCACTGACGTTGACCTCAGCGCAGCCAGCACTGGCCGGAGTGTGGCGCACTGAGCCTGAAAGTCGGACGAGGTTTTCCAGAGTTCAATCGGTTGAGGCAAGATGGCCTGCGACAACTCAGTGGCATGGGCATGGACTTGAACCTGGATGGAGGCTGGCGATTCAAACGGAGAAGGGGATGTCTTTCTTAATTTTGTCTCCTTGATTCCCTTGTCTTCTCCAGTTGGTTCTTGCTTTTGGGAGTTTGGGTTTACAGCTTTCCACTCTTGACTCACCAGATTTCACTAAACCCACCCCAAACCAACCCTGAAACAACCCTAACCTCCTCAAAACAGGCCATAAGTCAAACCTCAGCCCGTCCCGAGCCTGGCAACAAGTGAGTCTGTGAGTGAAGAGGGGCAACCACCAAATTTCAGAGGCAAGTCATGGTCCCAAACCATACACCATGGAGGCTGGCTAATGTTTCCAGCGAAGAGGGGCAAGCAGGGTGCAGTTGTGTGTTCGCAGGCACTTCAATGTCCAACGGAATGGACGTAGGCTGGCGAAAGTTTCATGTGAAGAGGGAGATTGCAGCGCTGCGCATTGCAGGCAGTTCAGGATCCCAAACCATACTGGGTGGAGGCTGGTGAAAGTTTGCAGTGAAGAGGGGCAATACGAATGCAGTTCTGTGTGTTGCAGACGGATCAATGAGAGTGGATGGAGGCTGGAGAGAGTTCTCACTGAACAGGTGTAACAGGCTTGCAGTGATACGCGTTGCAGGCCTTTCAGTGTCCAACGGAATGGACGGAGGCCAGCAACAGTGTTGTTGGGTGAAGAGGGGTAGCGCAAGATTGCAGTGGTGCACATGGCAGGCGTTTCAGGATCTAGCGGCCTGAGTGGAGGCTGGCAAAAGTTTTCAGTGAAGAGGAGGCGGCAAGCATGCAGTCGTGCGCTGCAGGTTCTTCAATGTCCAGCGGAATGGACGGAGGACGGCGAAAGTTTGTTGTTTTTTGGTGATGTGCTGTGGTGCGCATTGCAGGCAGCTCATGGTCCCAGACCATACACCATGGAGGCTGGTTAATGTTTTCAGCAAAGAGGGGCGAGAAGGTTGCAGTTGTGTGTGTGTGTGCAGGCTCTTCCATCTCCAACGGAATGGATGGAGGCTGGTGAACGTTTTTATCACATTGTAATGCTAGCCAAGGACTGTAAGTGCATGAAGGTTAAGCAGCGTAGCTGTGGTTTACTGCTGTCCTCGCTTCATCGCATGACTCAAGAAGAAGGGAACGTAGAGCACTGGCATTCTTAGTGTTTGCTTGGCTTTGACCCTTAACCGCAGGTTGTCAGCCATGGGAGACAAAAGGTTGCAGTGGTGCACATGGCAGGCGTTTCAGGATCTAGCGGCCTGAGTGGAGGCTGGCAAAAGTTTTCAGTGAAGAGGAGGCGGCAAGCATGCAGTCGTGCGCTGCAGGTTCTTCAATGTCCAGCGGAATGGACGGAGGACGGCGAAAGTTTGTTGTTTTTTGGTGATGTGCTGTGGTGCGCATTGCAGGCAGCTCATGGTCCCAAACCATACACCATGGAGGCTGGTTAATGTTTTCAGCAAAGAGGGGCGAGAAGGTTGCAGTTGTGTGTGTGTGTGTGTGTGTGTGTGTGTGTGTGCAGGCTCTTCCATCTTCAACGGAATGGATGGAGGCTGGTGAACGTTTTTATCATATTGTAATGCTAGCCAAGGACTGTAAGTGCATGAAGGTTAAGCAGCGTAGCTGTGGTTTACTGCTGTCCTCGCTTCATCGCATGACTCAAGAAGAAGGGAACGTAGAGCACTGGCATTCTTAGTGTTTGCTTGGCTTTGACCCTTAACCGCAGGTTGTCAGCCATGGGAGACAAAAGGTTGCAGTGGTGCACATGGCAGGCGTTTCAGGATCTAGCGGCCTGAGTGGAGGCTGGCAAAAGTTTTCAGTGAAGAGGAGGCGGCAAGCATGCAGTCGTGCGCTGCAGGTTCTTCAATGTCCAGCGGAATGGACGGAGGACGGCGAAAGTTTGTTGTTTTTTGGTGATGTGCTGTGGTGCGCATTGCAGGCAGCTCATGGTCCCAGACCATACACCATGGAGGCTGGTTAATGTTTTCAGCAAAGAGGGGCGAGAAGGTTGCAGTTGTGTGTGTGTGTGTGCAGGCTCTTCCATCTCCAACGGAATGGATGGAGGCTGGTGAACGTTTTTATCACATTGTAATGCTAGCCAAGGACTGTAAGTGCATGAAGGTTAAGCAGCGTAGCTGTGGTTTACTGCTGTCCTCGCTTCGTCGCATGACTCAAGAAGAAGGGAACGTAGAGCACTGGCATTCTTGTGTTTGCTTGGCTTTGACCCTTAACCGCAGGTTGTCAGCCATGGGAGACAAAAGGTTGCAGTGGTGCACATGGCAGGCGTTTCAGGATCTAGCGGCCTGAGTGGAGGCTGGCAAAAGTTTTCAGTGAAGAGGAGGCGGCAAGCATGCAGTCGTGCGCTGCAGGTTCTTCAATGTCCAGCGGAATGGACGGAGGACGGCGAAAGTTTGTTGTTTTTTGGTGATGTGCTGTGGTGCGCATTGCAGGCAGCTCATGGTCCCAGACCATACAGCATGGAGGCTGGTTAATGTTTTCAGCAAAGAGGGGCGAGAAGGTTGCAGTTGTGTGTGTGTGTGCAGGCTCTTCCATCTCCAACGGAATGGATGGAGGCTGGTGAACGTTTTTATCACATTGTAATGCTAGCCAAGGACTGTAAGTGCATGAAGGTTAAGCAGCGTAGCCGTGGTTTACTGCTGTCCTCGCTTCATCGCATGACTCAAGAAGAAGGGAACGTAGAGCACTGGCATTCTTGTGTTTGCTTGGCTTTGACCCTTAACCGCAGGTTGTCAGCCATGGGAGACAAAAGGTTGCAGTGGTGCACATGGCAGGCGTTTCAGGATCTAGCGGCCTGAGTGGAGGCTGGCAAAAGTTTTCAGTGAAGAGGAGGCGGCAAGCATGCAGTCGTGCGCTGCAGGTTCTTCAATGTCCAGCGGAATGGACGGAGGACGGCGAAAGTTTGTTGTTTTTTGGTGATGTGCTGTGGTGCGCATTGCAGGCAGCTCATGGTCCCAGACCATACACCATGGAGGCTGGTTAATGTTTTCAGCAAAGAGGGGCGAGAAGGTTGCAGTTGTGTGTGTGTGTGTGTGTGTGTGTGTGTGTGTGTGTGTGTGTGTGTGTGTGCAGGCTCTTCCATCTCCAACGGAATGGATGGAGGCTGGTGAACGTTTTTATCACATTGTAATGCTAGCCAAGGACTGTAAGTGCATGAAGGTTAAGCGGCTTAGCTGTGGTTTACTGCTGTCCTCGCTTCATTGCATGACTCAAGAAGAGCACTGGCATTCTTGTGTTTGCTTGGCTTTGACCCTTAACCGCAGGTTGTCAGCCATGGGAGACAAAAGGTTGCAGTGGTGCACATGGCAGGCGTTTCAGGATCTAGCGGCCTGGGCGGAGGCTGGCGAAAGTTTCCAGCAAAGGGGGGCAGCAAAAATGCAGCTGTGCGCATTGCAGGCGTTTCAGGGTCCAGCGGCCTGGGCGGAGGCTGGCGAAAGTTTCCAGCGAAGAGTTGCAGCAAAAATGCAGTTGTGCGCATTGCAGGCGTTTCAGGGTCCAGCGGCCTGGGCGGAGGCTGGCGAAAGTTTCCAGCAAAAATGCAGTTGTGCGCATTGCAGGCGTTTCAGGGTCCAGCGGTCTGGGCGGAGGCTGGCGAAAGTTTCCAGCGAAGGGGGGCGGCAACAATGCAGTTGTGCGCATTGCAGGCGTTTCAGGGTCCAGCGGCCTGGGCGGAGGCTGGCGAAAGTTTCCAGCGAAGGAGGCAGCAAAATTGCAGTTGTGCGCATTGCAGGCGTTTCAGGGTCCAGCGGCCTGGGCGAAGGCTGGCAAAAGTTTCCAGCGAAGCAGCAAAAAATCAGTTGTGCGCATTGCAGGCGTTTCAGGGTCCATCGGCCTGGGCGGAGGTTGGCGAAAGTTTCCATCGAAGAGGGGCAGCAAAATGCAGTTGTGCGCATTGCAGGCGTTTCAGGGTCCAGCGGCCTGGGCGGAGGCTGGCGAAAGTTTCCAGAGAAGACGGGCAGCACAAATGCAGTTGTGCGCCGGTCATTTGCCGCACTTGCCAGTTACTGTTTTCATTTTTACCAGCTTCAGCTGGCAGCTGCCTTCAATGTTGGATTTCCCTGGGCAGGATTTGGAAATCCGGGGTCTGAAGACTCGCCAGTCCGGATCTTGCAGTGAAAAGGAGAACAAGCGAACGCTTTTGCAGTGGCATGAGGCTTTCACGGATGCTGGGAAGTGCAGGGGCCGCGAAGAGGTGAGTCGTTTGGCGATGGAGGTTCCGGCGTGAGTCGTCGCTCCTGCAGGAATGGGTGGCTTGCGACTTGCCGAGTTTCACGCTCAGTGGCATGGCCAGTGCATGTTGAGCTGCAGTGGGCTGCTTCGCATCGGCTCACGTTGGTTTTGCCATCTGAGCGTCCATGGCCCGATCAGTTTCAGAAAGGGTAGGTTCCAAAAGGGGCCATGCAGATGGACGAGTGTGGGCGCATCATTCTGTACTCCTTGCAGCAGCACCTGCCCGAGCAGGCGGTCTTCTTCGCGGACCGGCTCACGGCAGCGGTGGCCACAGTGTCAGCGGAGGCCCTGGAGCTGTGGGCTGACGCCCTGCTCCGTGCCGGGGAGTTCCAGCGGGTCCGGTGCCAGCTCCGCGAGCCGCTGACGCCGCTGACGTCGCGGCTGCAGTACCTGCTAGCGGTGGCGTGCCTGCGCCTGGGCCACTTCGCGGAAGCCGAGGCGGCGCTGCTGGGAGACCCGGCGCTGCTGGAGCTTTGGGCCTGCGACCGCGCGGCCGAAGAGGTGCTCCAGCACGTTGCAGAGGGAGCTGCTGGCTTGTACCAGCTGGGCCAAGCCGCCGAGGGCTTGCAGAAGAAGCAACGCGCACTGGAGTGCTATGCAAAATGCTTGGAGCTCTGCCCTTTCATGTGGTGTGCCTTTGAACGCCTGAGCTGGCTGAGCCTGTGCGTAGAGCGCCCCGCCCAGTCGCCACATGAATTTGCCAGCACAGTTTTCAATGCCAACTTGATGAGCTCAGCCTTGCCCGCCAAAGCTGCGGAGCCCGAGGAGCGCAAAGAGCACAAAACCCTTGCGGAGCCCAAGGAACTCGAGGAACCTGAGGAGACCAAGGTGCAGTGTGTGTACCGCACCCCACGCAAAAGACGCCGCAGCGGGAGCGCCCTCAGCGACCAGACCTCCAGCCCTTTTTCGCCGCGCCTGCCGCTGCAGGACACGCCCGGCCGCTGGAGCGCGCGGCGCGCGCCAGCCCCGCTGTCCGGCTCGTCCCTGCCGCTGAGCGGGGCCAAGCCCTCGGCCGCGTCGTCGCCTTCGGTGCCCTCGGCGGCTTCGGCGGCTTCGGTGCTCTCGGTGCTGCAGCGCCTGGGCACGGCGGTGCACGCCTTTCACCGCTTCCGCTGCCAGGAGGCGCTGGCGGCCCTCGGCACGCTGGCGCCCGGGGAGCAGCGCTCCGGGCTCTGCCAGGACCTCACGGCGCGGTGCCACTTCGAGCTGCAGGACTACGAGGCCGCGGCCCGCATCTACCGACGCACCTGGGACGCGGGCTGTCGCTCGGGTGGCTCGGATGGCTCGGGTGGCTCCTTCAGGGGCCTGGAGTACTACTCCACGGCCCTGTGGCATCTGGGGGAGCGCCTGGAGCTGGGCAATTTGGCCCACCAGGTTCTGGAGGAGAACCGCCAGCGCCCGGAGGCCTGGTGCGTGGTGGGCAATTGCCACAGCATCGAACACGAGCACGACCTCGCCATCAAGTGCTTCAAGCGAGCCATCCAGCTGGACTCTGGCCTCGTCTATGCATACACCCTCATCGGCCATGAGTTTGTGGCCTTAGAGAAGTACGACAAGGCCCCCGGGCATGGTTCAACCTTTCAAATTGAGACACAAAAAAACACACACACACACACACACACACACATATATATATATATATCAGCAAATAATAAATTAGTTCTACCATTCCTTTCTTTCCGAGTTCTCGTTGACGAACTGACCATAGAATTCCAACGGCCAGAACTGTCTTTCTACATCTTACGTCTCTTTCTGTTACCAATCCTCACCAATAGAAATAAGATGAATTGGTGAAATGAGATGAAAGATGAATGAGGAAAGGATATGAATTCCAAATCTTTACAGCTTGTTACATCATCTTGACCGGCTATTACCTTAGGAATCCTCAATCACTTTTTCCTTGCCCTTCCACGTCCAAAAGCAAAGAAGAACATGATGAAAGGATAGTGAGTTACATTGTGGAAGAGCACAGGTGAAGCGAGGCTGGATTTCTGTCTGAGGCAAGGGGGAAGAAGAAGAAGCGGCCAGCCCAGGCATAGAACCAGTCTTCCCATGACCAAACTGAGAACGTGTTGATGCGCAAGCCCTGTTGCAACTAAGTGGATAAGCAAGCGACAACCATTGAAGAGCACTTGAGGCCCTGCAGTCATGCCCTGCATGATTTCCTTTGACACGAGATTTCCGTGTCGCCAAACCTTTCTCTCTCCTTGGCGAGGCGGTGCAGATGTACCAGTACGCGTTGGACATGGACCCGCGGCATTACAATGCCTGGTGGGGGCTGGGGGATGTTTACCAGCGGCAAGAGGATTTCCTGCAGGCCAAGTATAGCTTCATGCGAGCAGCGGAGATCAACCCCATGAATCAGGCACTTGGAAAGCGAGAGCCGCCCTGGATCTTGTAGGTTCCTTGCTGCTTCTGAACCTCTAAGGTCTGTTGGCTGCATGCCGTGGGAGTTTGCAATCGCCCCATCCAATTGCATTTGAATGGGGAACAGATTCAAGGTAAAACAGTAGTCTGTTTGGGACGGTTGCTCAAGCTTGTGTCTCCAGGCTTGTTGCAAACACGGCTGGCTCAGCAATACCAGGCGACAATTGGCAGAGCAGAGCGAAGCAGAACGAACACCAAAGCTATTCCCTTACAAGCTAAACCTGCCAGCGCGAATGCCATGCGACTATATACGTTACTCTGACCCTTTCAAGGCCTGGCCACTAAAAAAGATAAAACTGAAGGACTCCAAACACCTCAAGATGACCCTTAACTCCAGGTGCTGAAAACTTCCCTGGGCGCTGTGCTGCAAGTGCTCAACGAGCCGCAGCGTGCGCTACAGCTACTTTCTTCCGCTGCAGAAACTGGGAGTGCCCTAGCGCTCTTCCAAAAGGGGCGCCGCTTGGATCATGTTTTTTGGTTCCGTGGTTTGCTTTGGGCAAGCCCGGCCATGGAGGGGTTGAGCGTCGCGCAAAGCAAGTCAAGCCGCCAAGCAAAGAGAGATACTGGCAGGTCAATTGGAAACAGGAAGTGGAAGAGGGCAATGTGGCAATATGTGGCAATGAGATGAAACGATTCGGCCGCTTCTTTGTCAACTTTCCGAATTCGAATTCTCCGGGGGTCAAAGCCAGAAGTTTCCGTTCCGTTCCGTGAGGCTTGCTGTGTGCGCAGTCGCGGCCGGCGGAGGCGGCGGAGGTGCTGCTGCGGGCGCGGCGCCTGGCGCCCAAGGAGCCGTGCGTGGAGTTGGCGCTGGGCCGGGCGCGCCGCGCCGAGGGTTTGCCGCAGCAGGCGCTGCGGCACCTGGCGGCGGCCGCGGATCTGGCGGGGCCGGACCGGGCGCTGCTGGACCAGGCGCAGCAGGAGCTCCTGGCCCTCGGGTTCGAGGCGAAGGACCTCAAGGGGCTCCACGACAAGGAGGAGCTGACGGGCCCGGAGTGAGGGACGGTAGACGTCCGTTTGGCTCGAGCCGTGAGCTGTTTGTTGGGGGGTTGGAGTCGAGTGACTCGACTGGGCTGCACTGAACTGGGTGCGAGGCCCATGGGACAATGACCGTCATTGCAAGCCCGATCCGCCACAGGCGGATTCGATCCAAAAAGAGCTGTCCCAGCTGCCTTGACGAGTTGGTGTGATGACTTGCACAGGCTCATTTGAGGGAGTGAAGGCTCAGCAACGCCTTGCTTTGGGCCCGCCAAGGCTGCAAGACCTGCGAACCGCAGGCAGGCCATAGAACATCATAGAACCATAGACGACTTGACAGACAGGTGAACGAAGCTTTCAGGGACCCACGCTTGTGGAAAGTGTTCTCCATGTGGCAAGGACTGCGTATTTGCTGAATGGATGGAGTGGTTTCCGCGCAGTTCTCAGGATTTCAACGCTCATCTGCTCATCTTGTTTGTGTGCTTTGGGCGTTTTGCCTGGCCGCGTGCTGCAAGGCTTGGGGGATGCACGGGGCTTTGCCAGAGGAAGCGCCGCTGCCCCAGCTAGCTTTGCTTGCAGTGGCAGGTTGCTTTGCTTCCCGAGGCTTGAAGGCGCAGACCAACAACGAGCCAGGGGCCTACCTTGGAACCTGCTACGGTATCGCCTCCGTGCTCGAGGGGGGGGGGGGGCGTTTGTGCCAGGTGCGGGCAGCCTTGCAGCGGCTCTTTGCTGCAGACGGTCTTCAGGACCGTTGGGCAAGGGGCCGATCCGCGCAATGTTTGGAATCCCAAAGGAGGGAGTGCTACCCTGACTATGCCGCCTGCGTTTCAGAGACCCGGGACTGTGTCTGGTCGGTCGGCTGCCCATGCAGTGCGAGGAATGTACACGGAACGTGCAGGCAGATCGCATGCCATGAGTCGAGGCCTGGACATCTTGGTCTTCCACCTGCTTCGGCGACGGGAGGGAGCCAGCACCTCAGTCATGGACGCGCCACGTGGCAGCAACAGCCTGGCCAGGCTTCGGCTCAACCAACGCTTCCGCTCTCGAAATGCCATGCCCTCAGTCGCGCGTTTTGTTGGACACGGCTTGGGTGGCAGAAACACTCGGAGGTGCTGAAGCAAGCTCTTGCCAACGGCCAGCTTTGCATCGGCCCGTACAATCAGACTGAGCCCTGCATCGTTCGCGGCCAAGACTGATTCGGAGATGGCTTGGCGGCTTAGCCTCCGATTGGCGAGGCTGAAACTTTCGAGCGCCGCGACTGCGGGCTCAGCCATTGGAGCGAGTGGACCGGGCACCGGGGGGACTGGGATACTGGGGAGAGGTGGTGCGTGCAGATGGTGAGACGAATCTGGCAGGACCCACTGCAGCCGGCCTTGCGGCGGAGGCTGGCAGGCCTTCCTTTCGGTCGGCCGGCGTGGGCCTCGGCGTGGAGGTGTGTTGCCTTCAGGCGCGGATCCGGCGAGTGGTGCAGTACGCCAGCAACGGCGGCACGCCCTGCGAGGACGTCACACGCCGGGTGGCCCAGACCAAACTCGGAATTTCTTTTTCTTTTTTTTCTCGGCGGCGCCGGATCCCTCCGTCGGATCCCTTGGCCGATTTCAGGTGAGCAGCAGCCTTGCCATATCGAGCCTTGCGGCGGCAAGCGCCTGAGTCGCTCAGAATGTCGCCGGCGCATTCCACCTTTTGCCGCGAGGCGAGTCCTGTGTGCTCAGCGAGTGGGGTGCCGGGGTGGCCTGGATGGGTGCGACCAGCGATTTTCGCTTGAAGTCGCGTTCTTGCCCGTGTTCGGGCTTCGGCTTCGAGCTGGTACCGTGTGGTTTGAGAGGGCTTCATTCATATCACCTTTCGCTCTGGGCTTAGGATTGGCAGGGCTGCGACATCCTGAGCACAGCCCAAGAATACCGCAGTCCGGTGCCCTGTTTGCTGGAAAAACATGTTGGGTTTGCTCGGGTCCCCCGTTGAGGTCGCGAGTTGTTGCAGCCGGCCTCGGATGAGACGCCCTGCCGGGGATCCCAGACCCAGTCTTGGCCAGGACTTCAGCATTGCCCCGCAGAGCTCGTGCGCTTTCAGGCGACCAGACACTGCGGGAGACGAGGGGCTGTCCTGAAGACGACGAGGCTTGCCATTGGGATGAATGGGTGGGATGAATGGGTGGGGTGCAGCACAGTGCAGCGGGCTCTCGGAAACTGAGGTGCCGGAGGTCTGCAAATTGAACGCTTGGTCGGGGGCTTGAGGCTGTCGAACGGCGGGCCTGGGCACCTGGGCTCAGGACGGAGTGGACGGTCTGCAGTGCCACCTGTGCTGGGCAGCAGCAGAGGTGCGAGAAGGGGCATGGGGCGACGGGGCATCAAGGGAGAGGCATGGAGAGGCATGTTGCAAGCACGTAGAAGGCATCAGGCTTGGTCAAGTATCTCGAGCCAAAGTGCAGGTCTCGGCGGTTGCCATCAAACCAGCCTCGCTGCTTCCTCGACGCCACAGTGGTTGGAGAGGGTGCGCCTGCCAGAGCATGCGTGTCGATAAGTCTGCTACGTATGATATTGCAACTCACGCGCACATGCAGACCTTACAAGCACAAGAGAAATCGTGCGAAACATGAGAGGCTTGCTATATTTGCGAGGGAGAGTAGGGATCCTTGCCAGGTGTACCGGTGCAAGAGATTCAGGCATGCGGCGTTGCGGCCTCATTTCCTCAAAACGCCTTTTTTGGTACCCCCCCCCTCTTGTTTGCTCCTTGTGGTTCATTTCTCTCACTCCCTTTTCTCCCTCGAGCTGCTACGATACGATGTGTGATGTATGCCTGCGTTGTGGGCAAGAATGGAATCAACCCCCAAGTGAGGCACCTTCATAGGTGAGCTCGGTTAACCCCCCAGAGGGCTCACCATAACGCATTTCCTATACACACATATCTTTATACATATATAGTACAATGATATAACATGTATACATACATACACATGATATATAGGCAAATGGATACATGTTTTTCTAAAGCCCTCGTTTCCGTTTGCTTCGAGGCCCCACGGTGCGAAGCAGCGGTGTGCCGCCTCTCCGTGTGGACAGAGTGGCAGGGTGCCCAGTCCGAAGCCAAAACCGAAGCCATGTTTGTGGCGTCTGTTTTTTGGGGGTGTGTCTTTTTTTGGTTGTCTTTTTTTGTTTGTTTCTGGTGTGTTCTGATGTTTGCTCTTTTTTTGAGGGTACCGAAAGGAAAACCATAAGGAATACCATAAGGGAAAACCACCGGAAAAAAGACACGCCTTACTCAAAGGAGAGAGGGCGCTTCTTGATGCCGTTTTGTCTAGTGTGAGTCGGCATTTTGCTTTGTCTCATTCTGTCTTTGAGCTTGCCGTTCTGTTTCTTTGACATTTGGTGGTGGTGATTTTGTTGCACAGAAACTATCTGATACCCACTGGGGCCCAACTTGCAACTCACCGTCGGTCAGGTCCGGCTGCAGCCAGGGCTGCGGTCCGCGCACCCAGTGACAGGCCTGCAGCCAAACCCATGGCATGTCTTTTCGAGGCGACGGGATCCACACGCGCAGCCGCGAAGTCACGGCCTCAAGAAGATACACATCCGGCTGTGAGAGGAAGGGCCTTCAGGTGGAAAGTGCGTACAGACATGGCGCATTGCTCGAATGTGACTTTTGTTTCTTTTTTTTTGGGGGAGGCATGAGGCCGTTGGTGGTTCGAGCGGACTCCTCTGCAGATCTTGGAAAGCTCCGCGCACGCCAGCTGCGATGAAGCTTTGGAGCAGGCGCTATTGCTCAATGCGTAACGTGGAGGAGAGAAGCTGCTGTAGGATTTGCTTTTCCAGCTGTCTCGCTTGCTTTGGCCTCTCTTACGCTCGCTGTTTTCAAGATGTGTGCGACCGTTTGGCCTGACTTACGACAAGATCTGCATGTTTTCTGTCCGCTGGGATGCGAAACAGAAAGCCAGGTCCGGCCATGCCGGATGCAGGATTGCGTGGCTTTGGACTGCGTGCGCCCGGCATGTTGGTAGTGGGACTGGGCCGATTCAGGCTGGCCGAAGGGTGTGACCCAAGATGTAGTCCTCCCAAAATCCTCGCTGCTTTCGGGCGTGAGGGTGGAACGAGTGTAGATCTTGTTGGGGATCCCTTCCAGGTTCTATGGATCGACTGCAGATTGCTCCAGCTTTTTTTGCAGGTGTGGGCTGACTGGGACGAATGGAGCGCCTGGAGCTGAGCGCCGTACCGGGCCACCGATGTCTCCGGAGCTGCGAGGCTTGCAGCTGCACCTGCGGCGGGGGCACCATGCGCCGGAACCGCGTCATCCAGCAGTCGCCCGCGGCCCCAGCGCCGAAGCGCCGAAGCGCCGAAGCGCCGAAGCGCCGAAGCGCCGAAGCGCCGACGCCGGCGGCGGGCCGCAGCCACGCCCCAAACCGAAAGCCGAAGCCAAGGCCCCGGCACGGCGGCAGGACTTGCGACCCGGAGGCGCGCATTTGGCGCGTCTTTAAAATGCGCGTGTTTTGCGTTTTTGATGCTGACGTTGTCTGCGAGGAGAAGGGGCAGATCGCCCCCTGCGCGACGCAGAGCTGCGAGATGTGCGTGGATGGCAGGCGTGGGTGGCAGAAGCCATGGCCCGTTTTTTGTTTTGTTTTTGTTTCCCTGGCAGCTCGAAAGAACTTCTGATTGTCATAGCCGCAAATGAGAAGATATGGCCTGTGGCTATCTTGGTGACGCTTTTGCAGTTTGCGTCCGCGCGCTTGCCCGAACTTTTGCTCAGAACTTGTGCCATGGGCGTGGCCCTTCGTGCGGATGGCTTTTACTGCCCTCCGCTGGTACCAAGCGCAGAGAGGCCGGAGATGTGTTTTGCTTTCGTCTTTCGCTCGGCATGGGCGCAGGTGCTGGCACAACTATGGCTTGAAGTGGGTCCGCACATATGTCCACCCACAGGAGCAGGACCGAGCTGACAGGCCTCCGTGCGCAAGTCTTGGTCCGGCGGCACTTTCAGGACTTGTATTACGAGCACTTCAACTCGGGCATCTATAGGGCGTCCGAAGCCTTGAGGGAACAGGTCATCGACGTGGCGGTGGATGAGGCGGGGCTGGAACAAGAAAGTAAAACGGAATGAGAGCCATTGGCTCTCACTGTGTTTGCGGCAGTTGGCATCTGGGTGTACCTGTTTTGAGGCCACCCCTGTTTGGTGGTTTTATAGGAGAACCATCAGGGAAACATTTTTAGGATAACGTTCTTTCAGGAAACCGTCAGAACCATCAGTTTTATAGGAAAACAAAGGATAATCATCAGGAAAACAATTGTTTTATAGGAGGACGTTTTTTTTTGGAATCAAGTTCTCTAACTTTTACCCGAACCCAGCGTCAGGTGCTGGGAACGCTGGCGCAGCTGCTGCCGCCTCCCGCCGCGCGCCGCGCTCAGTGGGCGCTCAGCGCGCTGCACGGCTTGCGCTACGCGCTGTGCGCCGTGGAGTTCCAGGCCGGTCAGTTCCGGCCTGCGTCTGGGGTCGTTTTGGTTGGAGGCCGCCTCCTCCTATTTATTTGTTTTGGGGGGGGGGGGTGGAAATGGGAAGCCAAGAGGAGGGGCGCCTTTTTTTTTTTTGGGGGGGGGGGTTCCCGGGTTCCCCCACAAAGAATCCGCACCCTGGTCCTCCTCGGTGACTCTCAAAGACACTAGGGACAAGAGACCTGAAGACGACAAGAGTGACATTTTTCTGAGAAAGGGCCGTTTTTTCCTTTTTCTCCCCCTCCCTCCGGCAGGAGTGTTACCAGTCGGAGGAGGAGGCGGCGGATGGGATTTTGCGGCCTGGCAGTTGGCCCCCGTTGCCCCGTTGCGAGGCGTGTGGCGTTTGGTTCGTCAGCGCGCGCCGAGGAGCTTCTGCGCCGCCGCGGGGGAGGCCCTGGCGGAGCTGGGCATCCCGCAGCAGGATCTGCACACCGCGGTCTTGATTCCCAAGGCGGCCGGCTTCGAAGTTGGATTTGTTTCTTCCGATTTTTTGATTTTTCGTTTTTTAGTTGGCGTTTTGGAGGGGTTGGAGGAGAGATTGTGCCGGTGTTTGAAATGGCAGGACTTGGAGGCCGTGGTGCGCTCGGTGCTCCAAGCCGCCCAGCCGCAGTGGGCCGATGCCGTGGTCTATCAGTCCGCCCAGCGAGCTTTGACGCGAAAACTCGCAGGTGGGACAGGGACTGTGCGCTGAGCGCAGCGGACGGCGCTCGAGCGCTGGAGCGATCGGCGTGGCTTTTTTGAGACCGCGCCAGGTTCCCAACCTTCCTCCCCGCCGCGTACTCGCCCGCCCGGCTCTGCGACTTGAGCACCTTGCCGCTGGCGGCGCTGACCAACCCCGACTTTGCCGAGGGCCGCGGGGATGCCGACTACCGAGGCATGTGAGCAAAGGGCAACGGGGATCAAGGGGGCATGTTGTTTGTTATCTTGGTGGTGTATTTTTTTCTTCCAGCTGTCGGAGATATTCGCGATGATGTGCGTGTTTTGTCTGCGCGGGGCTTTGCGAGGTGTGCGGGTGCCTCAGCTGTCCATGGAAGCCATCCTGAAGAGAATCAGGTGCGAGCTGAAGCTTTTCCGGGCCTTCGGGAATTCATTTGGGTGGGCTAGGATTTGGACGCCCCAACATGGGATTTCGTCTTTTTCCTTTCGGGTTCCCACACCAGGCCCACAGACCTGCGCCCGGCCTTTTTTTTCCTCTGTCCTTGCAGGTGCTCAGGGAATGAGGGAATGGCCGCAAAACCGGTTCATTCAACCCAGTCCCGTGGTCACTTTTTTTCTGTTTTTCCGTCCTCCCGGAAGCAAACTCTTCCGCGAGAGGTGGCGCGGCGGCACGCCGCTCTCGCGCTGGGTGGTGAACCTCGGCGCCTACGATGGGCGTTGCGGGCGCGGCACCGAAACCCGGACGGAGCCACAGGGAGTCGCCTATTTTGCGACCATCGGCGTCTGAGTTTTTGCGGGGCAAGGCAACAAAAGTGTGGTTCTTCCCTTGAAAGAGGCCAAGAATTGCGAAGATTGGCATGATCGAGGTTTTATTTTTGGCGCCAGATGTCGAGGTTGGGCTTGTCTCTCAATGGGTTTTATATGTTCTTTCGAGGGGACCCCAAATTGGATGGGTTTCCCTTTGGGATTTTCTTTTGAAAGCCGCAAACAACACGGATGGTTTCCAACGTTCGGGGCCTCGTTTAACACCCCGTGGCACGTCACGAGGAATGCTTCGACCCTGCGAACTGCCTGGTGGAAGAGCAGCACTTCAGCGGCTTGCTGTTGGAGGGCAACGAGTCCGTGGCCAAGGCGATGCACGACAGGCCGACGCTTCGGACCTCGGAGGAAGGAAGTGAAATGCAATGCACCCGGTGGAGAGATACCAAGATATCCATTCCTTTAATTTCTCCATTCCATTTCATTCAATTCGAATTCAATTCTCCTTCATTCCCAATGCATTTAAGTCTCATTCTTTGTTTTGATGCGTTTCTGACTCGGGGTCGGACGAGGCTGGCGGACGAGCGGCTGCTGAATGAGGTGCTGGTGCGCGCCGCCGCGGTGACGCCCGGCAGCGTGGCGCCGCTGGTCTTGGGGCAGCTGCCAGTGCGCGAGGCGCGCCCACGGAAAATGCGAGTCCGGTGGTTGGCGAGTCGGGTTCCGTCGGGTTCCCGGGCTTCGCACCCCGGATTTCAAGTGAAAGGAAGCTTCATGTTTGAAGCTTGGGGTATGCTTTTGAAAGGTAGGTTGGAGGGTTTGGGTATTTTGGGGCAGGTGGATCTCTTGAAGATCGATGTGGACTCCATGCCTCATGACGCCCTGCTGTCTGCCCTCCTGACGGCTGGCCTGGGCGCCAAGGCGTGAGACACAGCTTCGCCTTGAGAAGGCGCAATTCGCGGCTCGGCGGTCCGGTCTGGCAGGTCATCCACACGGAGATCGGCCCTTGGTTTCCGCCTCCGGTCTCCTACTGGCGCGAGCACGCGCGAGGCTTACATCATAGATTCGCAGTATTGACGGGCAAAGGGGCACGAATCGTGGACAGTCAGCTTGCAGCCCAAGGACCCATCCGAGCCATTGGTCTACGCGCCGCGGCCAGAAGTGGTTGGGCTCAATCCCTCCCTTGCACGGGTGGACGAGGCTGGACATGGTGAGCATGGAAGCGCAAGGAGCTTGGTGAGCACTTGCAGACTTGCAGGTTCTGAAGCCCTTTGGCTATGAGCTGCTGCAAGTTGAGCTCTACGACGCAATTTGGGTTCGGGCGGAGTACCTGGATGCCTTCGACCCGGCAGGCGGGCACTTCCCGTGCCGGAACCCTCCGTATGCGAGGGCTGGTGATTTGTGAGGCCGCCACGATATCTACGACAAGTGGCTGGTGGGCGCGTTCTGTCATCCGGGCTTTCTGCGCTTCGGGGAGAACTTCAAGTATGGCCCGGGCCCGGCGGGACCGATCAGCGAAGGGGCGACGGGTGAGGGGCGGAGGGCGCTCAGGTCGCTACGATTACCGCGCCTGGGCCAACCCCGAACTGTCCTGGGAGGCGCGTTAAAGTTTTGGTGCTTTGCATGTCCCTGGCTCCGGTGCCCGTGCAGCAAGGTACGCGGCCAGCATATGCGCAGTCTCCTGCAGCGCGCGCAGAGTGGGCGCTGGCACTTGCGGCTTCCAAGAGAATCGAAAAGCAGACGCTCGCGTGCCTGGAACCTGTGTATCATGTTTTGAGGGAACCCCCCACTCCAAAAAAAGAAGAAAAGGCTTCCTCAAGAAAGCACGAGCCCTCCGATTGGTGCCCGGCAGCGGCAAGTTGTGCAGGTGGAGCTCTTGGGGCTCTTGGTCCAGATGTTCGGCCACATGCTCCGCATCCTACAAGGCCCTTTGTTCCCCCTTTCGGAGTCGGGGCGGGAACTCGGCAGTTCCGAGCCGTTCCAGTGACCAACTGCTCGGGGCGCTTTGCAGCGTGTCGCTTGCGCTTTTTTTGCGGAACGCGAGGCGCGTCACCGCAGCGTGGACCGGCACCCCAACTACTGCGGTCGTCCAGCGGTAGGCCTCGAGGACCAGTACGAGGCCGGCATCTGCACGGAGAGAAGAGTTGCCTTTTTTCAGACACTTTTTTTTTGCCACGAGGTTTGCGAGAACCAGCCGAACTGCGTGCCCGACAAGGCCACGGTGTGCTCCGCTTTTCCTCCTCTCGTTCTCAATGGTGACGTGGGGAGGACTGTGTACTTTCCGCTTGGAGCACCTGGACCGGCTGCAGTGCGGGCCCCGGGGCCCCGGACTCGTCGAGTTCGCTCCACTGCGCCGTGCTCAGGCTGCAAGTGCTTCGGCGTGCGCGAGCGCCGTGGTCTCAGAGAGTCGCCGCTTCGGCGTGCGTGTGGTTAAAAGTGCCTTGCGTGAGGCCATCGGGCGGTGGAGCAGTATGCAAGCGGCAATGGTCTGAACCTTGGGCCATGAGTCGTGGGTCGTTTGTCGTGAGTCATAAGGCCTATAAGGCCGTCATCATGCCTTTCATGTCTTCCAGAAATGGCAATGGGTCAAAATCCCGTACCCCCAGTGAACATCCCAATCTGACCACTAAAGCAGGAAGCCTAAAATGGGTGGTGAATTCACCTACCCCAACATGGGATCCCAAAACGGTGTTGACCCACGGCCAAATCTGAGTGAGGCAAGCCGTGCCTGGAAGAGTCCCTGAAGTTCGTGGAGCCTTGCGCGCCGGGACCCGGCCAGGTGGGGATTCAGGAACAATCCCAAGCATAAATAGCCGCCGGAATTTGGTTCTTTACATGGGTCGACCATATTACCGGGTTTTGATCATGTAAGTGAGGGAGTCGCGAGACCGGCCGCTTCAGGCGGTGCCGACGGACTGCAAGCCAGATCCTGCAAGGCGGGTCGCAGGTCGCAGGTCGATCTATCCCATGTGCCTTGAAGTAGGGGGGCCGGGGCAAAATGTGGTGCAGCAGAAACTCAGTTTTCTCGCCCAACATAGAACAAAAACGGGTGCCAAGAAGCAGCGTTTCTACCAAGAAAAAGCAAAGCGTTGCCCCGGTGCCCCCTGCCGAGGCCGTGCCAGATGGGCGACTGGGAGGCGGAAAGTCCTGAAATTTCCCACCGCAGGTGCCGGCTTTGCGTCAGCGTCCGCAGGAATGGCAGAGCTGCTCCGCGAGTTGTGACACCGGCGAGCGGAAGTGTGGGCCACGAGGGTCAGCGGAAGGGGTCGGAGGGCATGAGTGAGTATTAACATGTATGTGTGTAATATGTATAGGTATATATATATATATATACACATATCTCCTACCTGTGCATTTTAAAAATAAATCTAATTAAACATGCATTGTTTCTTCAATGTATGTTTTAGCCTCCAATATCAGGTTGCCAAAGGCAGGCGCATTTTTGGGAGGCTTTCCACTTTGCAGGCAGTGCCTAACAGCGGGACTCATGGTTCACGGCCGGAATGAGGCGTGCGCGCAACATCCTCATTCCGGCTGCCGTGCGGATCTTGGTCGGCTGCGGCTGCGACGCGAACTTTGACGTTCATGCGTGTTTTGGCTGCTGAGGATGACGGCCCTCCTTGTGAGGATCCCACAGAGCAGGCCCCGAGTTGCAGAGCTTGGCTTCTAGACCCTGAAAGTCCCAGAACTCTAGGACCTTTGCGGGTGTGCCGCAAAGTCAGGACCCGAAGATGGCAGGTTTCCTCTTTTGCCTCAAAACCGGTTTGCTAACAAAGGTGTCCTCCATTTTGATGACCCTGATTTGCGCATATGTATACATATATATATATATATACATATATATATATATGTTGCGGTTTGAAATGGACACCAAAAGGAAATCCACAATTTTATTTGGGTCCCTCAAACATGTAGTTGCCTGGATGGTATCCGAGGTTTGCCGGGTCCCATGCGAACCGAATTGCCAGGTGGAGCCTTGCAACACACAGGCGCCTGGCCGGGAGTTCACGAAAGACTCGGCGTGCATTGGGGTGGCTCCTTTTTTTTTCTCCCCCCCCGAAAAAGGCAACTTGTTTTGGTGGCGCAGGGAAACCTAAAGGAAAACACAACGCCCACAAGGGGTGCACCCTCCCAATAAAAAGAGACTGAAGATGTGGCAGGCTTGCCACATGACCTGCGTGGATTGTCTCTGGAGCCCGGGCCCCGATTTGCCAATCGCTTTGGGTCGAGTCTGAGCAAATCGACCCGGCGGATGTCAGGCCAATGGTCCGAGTGGAGCGCGTGCTCGCACTGCGGGCACCAGAGGTGCGCGGGGGATTCTGCAGCACTTCTTGGGCTGCCAAACAGGCCGTTTTGGGGTCTGCCTGGAGTCTCCGTGTCCCTTTAAAAATTGTGATTACCCAAAATAAAGGGGTCATGGACCCATTTTAAAAGGATCATGGAGACTCCAGGTGTCTGTTCTCAGGGGGCACCCATGTTTTGTGAAGGGAAGCGAAAAGGCAATCTTTTCTTTGAGGGGTCCCCTGAAGAAACGACGCACCGAGTTGGCGGTGTTTCTTCCATGTGCCACGTGCCATGTGCCATGTGCCAGGTACCGGCATCGAGGCATCACGCGCCAGGCGAACCATTGCGGCAAGAAGTGCGACACGCAGGCGCCATGGACACGAGTGAGGGCTCGGGTTGGCTCGGCTGTGGGCCACGAGGGCGACCGCTGGCCAGAGGTGGCTCAGTTAGCATCCCAGGCCCGCGCGAGTAGAAGCCGGTTCAGGTTGCAGCTGTATGGGCCGCCTGACATGGTTGGTGCGTCTGCACCTATGTCTGCTGCGCTTGACGCAGGCAGGCTGGGCTGAGACCATCAACAGCGCGGGCATGCAGAGAACTTTGAGCCAGATGATGACCAAGCAGTTCCTGCTGTTGGCACGTGGGGTGGATGTGGCCCAGAATGAAGCCCTCCTGGCTGACTCCATGAACCAGTTCAATACGACCTTGTACGACCTGAAGACGGGCAACGCAGGCAGAGGGATCCTCCAGGCGCCAACCCAGCAGGTGGCGTCCATGCTCGCGGATGTGTTGACGCTGTGGGAGCCCTTTGAGGAGCTGCTCCGCAGCAACAAGTACACCATCCGCGCGGCTGGGGCGGTGAACATGGTGGTCCTGGAGTCCGTGGCGAATCTGAACGTGCCGCTGCTGGATGCCAGCAATGCGGTGGTGAGCAGCGTGGTGGATGCGGCTAAAGTCTCCGGCGCAGAGACCAACGGCCTGACTCAGAACATCGCCGGGCGCCAGCGGACTTACATTCAGCAGATGTGCAAGGATGCGCTGTTCGTCAGCCTGGGCGTAGCTCTGACCACCAGCAAGGACTCCCTCACTGAGACCAAGAAGCTCTTCGAAGCGTCTCACAAGGGCGTGATAGAGGGCGTGCCTTTCGCCGGCGTGCCGGTGTTGACCAAGATGTGCACCCTGCACGAGATGTCCTGGGTGACCTACAACTACCAGCAGCTGCGGCCGCTGTACAACGAGATCCTGAACGAGCAGACCGCAAGCCAGGAGACGGCCAGCGCGGCGGCGGCGCAGGTGGCAGAGCTGACGGGGCCCTTGTTCGACTCCATGGTGCAGGCGGTGGAGCTGTTCAACAACGACCAGGGCAGCTGCGACCCCTTGGCCTCGATGACGGCGGAGGCTTGGCAGATCTTCTTCCGGACCTTGGGGAACCAACGAGTCTTCACCCAGGAGGCCTCCCAGTTCTTCACCCAGCTAGCGCTGGACGTGGACGTGAAGAGTAGCCAGGTGGAGATCACGGTGTTGCTGTCCACGGCCACGGAGAACCTGCGGAACTTGATCGAGGGCAGCCGCTCCGAGAGCATCACCCCGCCCCCCACGCAGCTGGTGGTGGATCACCTGCTGCTGGCCTGGGAGCTGTGGAGCACCCTGAGCTCGGAGCTGGCGGACGCGGTGCGTTTGGACAGCGTCTCGGACGTCATGGTGGCGCGGGTGGCGCAGCTCAGCGCCAAGGTGCTGCTGGAGCTGGACTTCGTGCTGCGCCACGCCGTGGACGTGGCCAACTCCACGGCGGCCAGCGTCGCGAGCCGCGCCAGCCAGCAGCCGGTGCTGGTGTCGCAGATCACCCAGGCCGCGTGCCTGGTGAAGTTCGGCCAGGACGTGCCGGAGAACTGGGCGCGGCTCAACGCCACGCTCGAGCTCCTGCACTTGAACCACTGGGCGCTGCTACAGGGCGACCACCTGGTGCCCAAGGTCACGGACGTGTGCATCGTGCAGCAGATGAAGCGGGCCGCGGACCTCTTCGCGCAGCTGGAGGTGGCATCGCTGGGGGTGGCGCATGGCGATGCCCAGCACTTGGAACCTTTGGTGCGGATCACGCCTCTGGCGGTGGACACGGCGCTGGAGGCCGCCTTGGCCCTGAACAGCAACGCCAGCTGCGGCAACAGCTCGCTGGCCGCCCAGGAGTGGCGGGCCGCGCACGCAGAGGTGGCCACTTTGCAGCGCCTCAGTCAAGAAGTCACCGCCAAGTTCCTCGTTCAGCAAGGCAGCCAGCGCCTGGAGAGCGTGCAGGACCTTGACACCAGCTGGAGGCGGGTGATGTTTGGCTCGTGGCAGCCAGCCGTGGCGGCTCCCTCCAGCCAGGCTTACTTTGACGAGCTGCTGCAATTTGAACCGGCCGTGGCATCGTTGAAGGCAGCTGTGGCAGGCACAGACGCCATGGCAGTGCTTGCTGCCAGCGACAGGTTAATGGAGGCAGCAGGTGCGTTGCAAAGCCAGTACTTGGCGAACGCCCTGGGCGCCGACCCGACTTGGCCAGGCAGAAGGGTGGATGTTGCCATCCACCAAATCACCTTGGCCAACAAGGTATTTAAAGAGGCTGTGCTCTTCGTCTTTGACCTTCGCACGACGAATGCGGAGCTCTCAGCCGTCATCGGCGACTTCGATGCGGCACACTTGCAGCTCAAGGACGGAGGGGATGGCGTGCCGCCCATCATGATCCCAGAGCGGAACGACCTGCTTGACCAGTGGAACCAGATCGACTCCGCATGGCAAGGCCTGAAGCAGTTCAAGGATTCCATGACCTCGGAGGACGGGTTGGAACGTGCCGAGTTGGGGGGGGGGGTTCGTAAATCCAAAGTCCTTCCGTCAGGACGTGTCGCGCATGGAGACAGCCCTCCTCAGGTTGGTGACGCAGCTGGAGGCAGCGATGCCGTTGTACAGCCTAGAGGATGTGGAGGCGCCAGAGCCGTCCTTGTGGCCGGCAGTCATCTACTCCAGCCTGGGCGTCGGTTTGCTGCTCTGCTGCTGCTTGTGTGGTTTTTTTTTGGCCAGCGCTCATCGTAAGAAGCGCGTTGGCTAACGAAGACTGTGCTGTCAATGAGGAAAACAAAGCATTGGACTGGCATGCAGAGTTGAGAGGCCTGTTTCTTTTCGGACAGGCGGCCAAAGAAGTAGGCGCGGGACGGTTGCGGAAAAAAGAGAGAGAGAGAGAGAGAGAAAAAAAAACCAAGACGCACGAGCCAATCTCAGTTTCTTCCGCGATTCGCAGAATCTGCCAGGATTCTGCCCCAGCAAGTGTGAGGAGCGCTACTGCGTCTGGAGCAGCTGGCAGGACCGAGCAACTGAGCCGAGCTTTGTGGGCGGGCGCCGACTGGGGCGGATGCGGCGGATGCGGCGGATGCGGCGCAGGACATGGGCGGCTGCAGCGCCAAATGCGGGCCCTCCACCAGGTGGGACAAGAGACAAAACGACGACCGTTCCGAGAGTTCCGAGCGTTCCGATTGGGCGATGCAGCCCCAGCGTTCCGATTGGGCGATGTTTGCAGCCTGCCCAGGCTGCTGCACCGCGAGCTAAAGTTCACGACGAGGTTGCCAGAGCCAGAGGCCTGCGAGTCCTTCGAATCGAATCGAATTCGTCACGTTGGATGCGAGCAGAGGACTTTCGCCTGGTCAGGTGGAGCCTATTGGTAACAGCGGTGGCCTCTGTGCTGAGCTCAGTCGCAGAGAGGAAGCCTCTCAGAGCAGGAAGTGGCTGTCAGGCCGAGACGCCCTGGGAAGGAGCTACAGCCTGCTGCCTGAGATGTAGTGAAAGTAGTGACTTCGTGGGGAATCGGACTCGCTTTCTCCCCTAGAACTTGGATTTGAGTCTGAGGCGGGTGCCCCATCCAGGCGCTGTCGTTGGAGGACTGCTCGGAGGGCCTCCGCAAGCTCGGAGGTCCGAGCGAAGTGTGCCACGTTTTCCGCCGCTGCTGTGGAGCCTTGCTCTCCGGCCAGGCGTGCGCGGGGTGCAAGGGGCCGCCGGCCTAAGCCGGTCTAAGCTGGTCATGGCATGGGAATGCCCACTGTCCACTCTCATCACCCTCTTTTGTCTTTTCTTTTTGTGGTCCAGGCCATGTTCGATAGGGGCGACGTCGTGAAGTTTGGAGGCCGGGCGCTCAGGCGTTTTTCACGGCGCTGTCCGGCGCCGTTGGGTGTCGGGGGGGGTCTCCGCTCTGTGCGTCTCAGCCCGCCGCTGCTTCATCCTCGTGGATCCGGGCACCATGATCCAAACGGTGGATGTGCCAGGCCACGAAACGCGAGCCACGGGATCCAAGTGGCAATGACATGCCTGTCATTGCCAGGTGGATGGATGAAGACACCCTGCATTGAAGGTAAGGGAGCAGGACAGTACGCAGAATTGTTTGGCCTTTCTCCGTCGCGCGCTTCGACTAATTGCCTGTCAACAAAGGACCCATTACTAGTGCTGGAACTGCTTCGGGGGCAGACACGCCCGGCCCCCACACTCTCGAGGAAAGGTCCATTTCGAGTTTGTTTCTTTTTTTGGGAGGGGGGGGGTCCAATATTTTCTGAGGTGGAAATGCCTCACCTTGACCAACATGCCCCTGATTATTGGCGATCCCAGCGTGCCGCGGGCTTACCCGGAGCTGTCCCCCGCCTTCGGATTCGGACTTCGCCGCCTGAGGCCCTGCTCCGGCACACAGATCTATCAGTCCACCTGCGACAGCCGCTCGGCTGGCGTTGCTCGCGTTTCTTTCGTCCCGAGAGGCGTTTCTTTCGTTTCTTATGTTTAGCGTTCCTTAGGTTTCTTGATTTCGCGTCATTTCAATCGGAAGGCAAGCCCTGCCGGGACGAGCCGGCAGCCCAATGCAGCTCGCTTGCCGTCTTTCGTGCGTGGCGGGTGGGGAAAGGTGTGTGCCTGTGGATTGCGAGCTGGGCGAGTGGAGTCAGCCTGGCGCCGAGCGATTTCTGCCCAAACGGCCCTTCTGTTTCGGGGCAAAATGGGTATGGGTCAAAATTAAACCACCAGGTGCATAGTTTTGACCCACAGCCAAATGGCACACAAACGCACGCCACTTGCCTTTGCCAGCCCTGAACCAATGCTTCAAGGTGGTCCGAGCCCAGCTGCACCGAGCTTTGTGAGCGGTCGCGCACCATCGCCCGCTCCAATGAGCCGCAATCCCAGAGCGCTCAGAGCCACGTCAGAGCGGCCGCAGCCCCCAACTGGTTTCCTCCATGGGGCGAAATGATCAACCGAACCATCCCTTAAAAAGCGCACACCCAACCGGAACCCCGGAAAGGCACACTGGAAACTACCCTTAAATGGGGCGGTTGGGGGGTTGGTTCCGCGTTGATCTCTCGAGCTCCGACGCTTTTGGCCCAAAGGGGCGGGGCAGTAGCAGCCCGGCAACCCGGCCGGTGGCGGCATGATGGCTCTCAGCGAGGGCGGCTGCCATGAGGTGGGTCAACATTCCAAGTTCTGGCCCCTTAGTTGATGGGGGTGTCTTTCTTTTGGGAACCCCCTTAGGTGGTTTTAAGCGGAAAACAAAACTTCAACCGGAATGTTTGAAGGTCCAATTTGACTTTGCGCCTGGTCGCCAATTGGAGGCGGACTTTTTGCAGCGGCTCGCAGATGAGAAGGCATCGCTGCTCCGACGAGTCGAGGAGGACCAGTGACCCAGTGAGCCAGTGAGCCGCGTGTCGGGTCCGTTTGCTCGCGCTATGCCTCAGGAGAAGATGGCCTGGCTAGATGCGCTGGAGCGGAGCTTTGGCGTAATCCAACCGGCCCGGGGGGAAGAGTTGCAAGAGGTCAACGGGTGCGCGGCTCGTGAAGGCCCGTCTGAGCGCTTCCGGCTATCACGTTTGGAGCGGCCGCTTCAGCCTCTGCTGCCGGAGGATGTGGATCCGGCACCACTGACGCCACGACAAGTCTCCAAGCACTGGGACCCCTTGAGGCGCAGCGGACACGGCACCTTTTTTGTTTTTCCAGCGCGCGCTTTGTGCCAATCAATGTTTGGCCAATTCTCTTGAACCAGCCTGTTCCGATGATGAAAAATCCGACTTTCCCATTTTCCCGATTTTCTCTCCGATGCTCCGACTTGGCTTCCCCTCCCTTCCGACGACCTCCGACCTCTTCCCCGACTTTCCCCGATTTTTCAGGCAGCGGTCCTCCGACTCGGAGTCCGATCCCTTCGCGGAAGACGTGATTCAGTCGGAGTCCATGGAATCCATGGAGTCCATGGATTCCTCGGTGGTCTCCCGGCCCTCGCGGGTCTCCGTGCGCTCCACTGCGGCGGCGCAGAAGGTGCAGAACTTGTTCAACCCCACGGACAGCGTCCTGGAGGTGCTGGTGCGCTACATGGACTACGTCGCCGGGTTCCTGGCCTCGCGGCCAAAGAGCTTGAAGAGAACTCTTCATTTTGTTTCTTTCCCCTCGGGTTGAACAACTGCAACTCGCCTCTTTGTTTTCTCGGACCACTAGAGCGAGTGTTTTTTGGCGTTTTGAGGCATTTTGAGAGTTGTTCGGTTGGGCTTGGGAGCGGATTCCTTGGGTTGGTTGAGCGTTTCTTGGCGCGTCTTGTGGCGTTTTCATGTGGACGTGTTGAGTTGCTTCTTGCTACTCTAGTCATTTGGAGTTGAGTTGGGGAGATTTCGAGGTGTTCCTGAACAGTTTGCTGATGATGGCGGAGCTGGAGCTGGAGGGCCGGCAGGCGGCGAAGCTGCTGGGCCTGGACAGCGGTGAGGACTTGTACGAGACGCTGCGGGTCCTGTCGCTGCTGGACGAGTTCTTCGTGGCCGTTTTTCTGCTGGAGCTGCTGCTGAGGACCCGGGGGGGACCGGGAAAACCGGGGACCCCGGTTTGGTTTTTGTTTTCCCTAGAGGTACTTGTTTGTCATTTTTATGTATCATGAGGAGCCCGAGATTGTGAAAAGAGAGACCCTAAAAGGAATTTACTCACCAATGACCAAAGTGATACAGAAATCCCGGTGGGGCCTGGTTGGCCACTTGTTCGGATGTGAACGACGTCGCCGTAGGCGCCATTGTGTGCCCTTCTTGAACGGGCACTCGCCAGGATCTACATGGAGGGCCGGAACCTCTACAAGGATTCGACGAAACCGGCTCGGCGTCGGCTTCTATGATGTAGGTGAAATCCGAATCCGAGCCGTGTTCACAGCTCTCCCGAAGCTCCTTAGTGTAAACCGACTCGCCTCCGACTCGCGTCCGACTCGCGTCCGACGCGTCCGAATCCCGACCGTCCGATTCGCACGGTTCGCAGGACTGGGCCAACATCTTCGACGTGATTTTGGTGATCTTGGGCCTGGTCGACGTCGTGGTCGGGAGAGTTCTGAACCCAGAGAACGACATGATGAAGGACCTTTCAAGCCTTTCCGGTTTTTCAGTTTACGTCATGTTCAGAGCTGCTGTTGGCGCCTACTGTAAGGACCTTTCAAGGCTTTCAATATGTTTTGCCGTGGAGGTTTCAAGTCCTGTTCGCCTTTTCTCAGCTGCAAAGCCGGCCGGATGTAGCGGATGTCCGGAGGACGTGATCTTGCTGAGGCTGATCCGCGGGCTGAAGTCCCTGCGCGCCCTGCGCCTGGTCCGGACCTTCCGCTTCGTGCGCGGGCTGCGCGTGCTGGTCAAGGCCTGCCAGGTCTTCTTGCCCTCCCTCTTCTGGGCCATGGCTACTTGGCAATCTTGGCATCCAGACTCCAGACTCACTCAGACTCACTCAGACTCACTCAGACTCACCCCTTTTCTTTTCTTGACTTCAGGTTGTGCAGTTTCTTTCAGGTTTCTGTGGTTGTGAAAGCTGTTCACTGGTTTTGGGCCCTCGCGTGCGGAATCGCCTAATCGCGCAGCGCGATCCTGAAGCAATATGACAGCATGAGTGCCAATGATGGAAGCGACGTGCCGCACGCATGGCCGCATGGTGCGTTGCAAAACACTTGTTTGGGAGGCAAAGAAGGGAGCAGAGACGGGTGCAACAAAGTGAGATGCAGTTATTTTTGCATTCTTTTAGTCATAAATTTTAGTCTCGCCTCGGAGCCTGGTGTAGCTGTTATATAAGTGCAGCGGCCCCTGCAGAAGTCACAGCCAAGATGACTTCACGGTGCACAAACTATTGAGTAGCATGGGCAATGAGCCATGTGCGAGTATCGAAGCGGCTCAAATTCAGCAAGTCGCGTTTTGGTTTTCCCGCAGCTGCGAGCCTTTGTTGCGTCACGCATCGCACAAGGCGGAGACAGAGACGCTCACGGTGAAGTCGGCCAGCCTCAATAGCCACGTCGCACGCGTCAGCAAAGCGTATAGCGTCGCAGTGCCCAGAGGGGGAACTGGCCAGCTCGTGCAATGCCGCTCGCCTGGCTCGCCTCGATATCTCCAGGCTTTGCAGGACACTGCAGCCACTGCCTCCATGGGCTGTGGCCAGAGCAGTGCCATTTCTTCGACGGCGCTGGCGCTTCGCGAAGTCAGCTAGCGGACGCCGCGTCACGTCCGCGTGAGTGCGGCTCTTCCAGCCCCCAGAGCTCCTGCGCTCCGCAAGGCTTGTCTCCAGCCCGTTTCTACCTTTCACCGCCTTTCACCCTCTGCCCTCGCACGCGTGCGAGGGCTCGCGCTCGAGCCTATGAGCCCTTCAGCTCCATCCTTTTCCGCGGGCAAGTTGGAAATCCACGATACTCTGCGGTCTGAGTCTTTCGCCTTCCAGCTCAGAAGCCCGACTTGTGATACTCCAAGCGATCTTGTCGGCTGAGCGCGGCAGACTTGCGAAAAAAGGCTTCGCAAAAAGGAAGCCTTGCAGCCAACAAACTTGAGCAACCTACAGCCGCCTCAACACACAGCGCTCTCAACTTCTTGAACATCGAGCCCCAAGCAAACCATGTCTATGTGCCGGCGTGCTTGCAAGAGATGCGCAGGAGACAGCCGTGGCGAGTCAAGGGACAACAGCCGCCCGAGCGCCAATGATCCCAGACCACTGGCTTGAAAGCCATGCAGCGCGCTCGAGCTGTGTGCGCTTCACAGTTTGAAAGGCGCCATCGGGCCCTGTTCAGAGAGGAAGATGCTCCAATTGTTGAAGTATGAGATGCCAAACCTTGCCAACTTCGTGCTCCAGTGGCTAACTCGGCAACTTCGAGCTTTATGCAACGTATGCCAGCTGCCCTCTCCGCTGAAGCATGTCAACTTCGAGAGCATAAAGCCAAACTCGTGTTTGCCAACCTCGCCCCGGCATGCCGACCTCAGGATCTGCGTGGCAGCCGAGTTCTCCGCCACGCAGCAACGTCGAGTTCTCCGCGCCCGGATGCTCTCGGGCTGCGCGCTGAACCAAGCGCGGGCGCATCAAGCCCTACGTGCCTGCGCATGACGTGTGCCGGCCTGGGGTTTATGGGCCAAACTCAAGCTTGACAGGCTGAAGTATGCCTACCTGTGTGTGGTCAAAGAGACTCCGTTCAAATGGACGACGGTGAGTGGTTTCGAGGACTGCTCATTTCCATGCTGTTCGGGATGTCATGCTGTCTTACCCTTACGCCAGCCAGCCTTGGCTATCATGTATCATTGCCCTTGGGTGGTGCGGGTGGTGGACCTGACCAGGATACATGGTTGTCCAAGCCGCCGTTTCAGGGAAGAGGGGCACCAGCATGTTGAACTCCAACCTGGGCCACCCAATGAAGTTGAGCAGAAGGTTTCTCAATTACGCTTCCGTATCGTGCTTGTAATCGTCACATCACATATTGCAGAAGCGTGTAGCACTTAGACTGTAGTTGGCGGACTGCCGACTTCATTCGAGTAACTTGTTTTGGCAAGGCATGTTTTGACGCGAGGTGCTGCTTGGCGTGTTCATGACCATGGGCGCGTTGACCTTGGGAACGACCCTTCAGATATTCATCTCCGACGACGCAGCTGACTTGGAAGAAAGGCAGTGGGTTTGGGAGCGTTACGGGACCGCGCTGAGAGCCAGCTACACGATGTATGAACTGACATTCGCAGGCAACTGGCCCACAAATGCGAGGCCTATCATCGAGAATGTCAGCCCTTGGTTTGCGATTTTCTTCCTTGGGTATATCACTATCATCGTTTTCGCTTTGATCCGTGTGATATCAGCTCTATTTCTGAAAGACACCCTCGACGCAGCCCAAAATGACGCGGAGCATGCAGTGGTGGACCGGCTGAAGCAGAAGGGGGAGTACGTGCAAAAGTTGGAGCACCTTTTCCAGGCCATCGACGAAGAAGGCAATGGCATGATCTCGGAGGCAAAGTTGTCGCGGGTTCTCCAGCATCCAAACGTCAAAGCGTACCTGGAGACTTTGGATCTAAACTTCCGGGAAAGCGCGGCGCTCTTTCATCTCTTGGACAACGGGGATGGCGAGGTGACGTTGGCGGAATTCATCGATGGAATTATGCACTGCAAAGGGCCTGCCAGGGCCATTGACCAGGTTGCTATGCACGCGGACCTGCGCCAATTGATCCACCGACTGGATGGGATTTGGCAGAAAGTGGGACGGAAAGCCAACACGACCAAGGATAAACAGAAGGCTTTCCGGAAGCAAGCGGCATATCTCAAGACGTTCAGGTTGGATGCAGCAGATCAAGGTGCCGACATGTTTCAAATGTGGGTTTCAACTTAATACGCCTTCCGCACTGTTTGAAGGTTTAGTTCTCCCTGTCAGGAACTTATTGGAGAATGTCTTCGGCCACTAGTCGAATCTAGCCAAGAGAACGAAAGTCACAAGTGACGCCGTTGTGGCAACATTTTCACCATCGAGGCAAGCGCAAGCCAGCGACCGAACAGGAGCTTGGCCTTTGCGAGGGTTTGCACGCCTTGGATCGGTATTCAAACTGTCGCACTCTCAAATGAGAGGTTGCTGTATGTATCCCTTTTTATCCGCTCTATCAATTTGTGAAACGGGATCCTGCTAATGCGATTCCACTGCAGCATGTCATTGGCGCGATTTTTCATCGTGCGCGCTGGATGGTGCTCGTAGTACTTCCCGGGCCTTGCATAGTCTCACCCAAAGCCTGTGGCAAAAATAAGTGCCCCGCCGTTGCACGCCGTGTGGCTGTGGGTCAAAATGAAACCACCGTGGGATCACACGGTTTAATCCATGTTTCCATTTACCAGGGTTCCCATTTTGGGTACATATTGTTGACCCACTGCTATGGGCGGCGTGCGTGCGAAGTGTTTGCCGAGGTGTGGCGGGAAGCCCTGCGGCGGCCTGCTGGTCGAAACCAAGAGGCGCCGCCCACTGCATGTGCGGTGCGGTGTTTTTGTTGCTTCTTTCGAGACGTCAAAATGAATGGTACCATGTTGGGGTAGGTGCGCCACCCATTTTGGTCTATTTTAGTGGGGATTGGGATGTTCACTGGGAGTACGGGCTTTTGACCCATGGCCATTGAGGTGCTATAAGAACTGCACCGCGCCGGTGGATTGCAAGCTCGGCCTGGCGCATACTTGTCACCTGAGTGAGTCTGAGTCTGAGTTTGGTGAGGCGAATGGGGCAGCTGGGCTCCTGCTGAGCCAGGGGCTCAGGGCGTCCGGCGAAAATGGGCGTGAGGCCGGCCGAGAAAGTTCGGAGAGTTGGGATTGAGGTGCATGACGCCCACCGACCAAAAAGAGCGGGAGCGAGCTGCAGGGACCTCGGACCGCGGTGCAAACGGCCGGCCTGTGGGTTGCGGCGGGAGTGAGGTGCTGGTGGTCGCAGAGAATGGCGGGCCGCCGACCCGGGAAAGAGGGAAAGAGGGAAAGAGGGAGAGATGGCAGACTCGGACGGACTGGGATGGCCTCGAAATCTCGGGAAGTCTTCAAGTCAAGTCACTAAACCGCAACTCAGGCGGGCTTGCGCTGGCGTCATGCGAGAGACCATGGCGCGGCTCGGCTGCACCTCCGCTGGTGCGCGCAGCTGCACATCCCGTGGTTCCAGGTGCTCTGAGGATCAAGAGCCAGTGAACGACTGCGAGCTGGGACAGTTCAGCGAGTGGTCTGCGTGCACAGCTACCTGCGGCAGTGGCTTGCGAACCCAGCCGCCAGCCCAGGGCCAGACATGCCAAACTGAAAAAAGGGACCCGGAGATTCCCCAGAGCTTGTGTGAGCCCTCAAGGTCTCGCAGCATCCAAGTGGAGGCCAGCGGAGGTGGCTCGTGGCTCGCCGGCAAGATCCGGCAAGTAGGAAGGACGTGGCCGGTCGGGGGCGGAGGTGCTCACTTCGTCTGAGGCCTTGCAAGGGGCCCTTGGCTTTGCTGCAGCCCTGCAGTCTTGGACCCTGCGAGTGCCAGGGCCCTGACTCCCTGACGCTGAACTGATTTCGTTGTTTTTCACTTTCCATGGGCTCAGAGACGAAGCAAACAAAGCAGCAAACCGACGTGGACCCAGGCCCAGTGACGGACGCCGTCCTGTCGCAGTGGCTGGAGCCTGAGACCCCTCGGTTCGAGCCAAATCATCCGATCCGATCCGAATGCAACGCCCAGGGGCGAGTGGAGCGGCTGCAACTCGGGCATGCACCTCCGCAAGCGGCAGGCGAGAAACCCGCGCGTGAAACCCTTCTTTCGGTTTCGATGGGGCTTTGCTCGACGTTTGCTTTGGGGAGGTTGCCAAGATTGTGGGTAGACCCGCACAGTTGTTTGGTTTTGGTTTAGGCACCATTTTCCGAGCGCCGATCTCGCGCCTCTCTGTATTTAAATGACCCGTGAGAGGTCTCCCAGAGCGCCAAGTGCGGCGGTCAGCCTGCCAAAGGCCACGCCGCGCGATTCCGAGGGTTTCCGACTCAGCCGGTCCCCGTCCAGCCGCCAGGTGGCTTGATGGAGGTCAAGCGATGCGGGGAGGTGATCGATTGCGAGGCCGGCGGCGCGGGTTGAAATGCGTCGAGGGTAAAACCCCAGTTGGTTTCGGGCGCTCTTGGGAGTTGGGGAACAGGAGCGCTCCGTTGGCAGGTCTCGGAGTGGACAGGTTGGGATGAATGCGACAAGAGCCTGCGACCCGAGATTTGCTCCGCTCGCATGTTGCCATTCGATTGCCTCAGGCTGCGGCGGTGGTCAGCAGCAAAGGCACCGGCAGGTGACAAGGAATCCGTTGAACGGCGGGATGCGGTGCGCGGCCCAGAGTTGCCATTGTACTCGATGCAAGGAAGTGAATGCGTTTCCCGTGCGCGATTCCATCAGTGCTGCGATGCCAGCAATGCAATTCCGCGATCCTCGGAGAAACCGGCAGTCGGCACGAGAACCTTGTTGGCCCTTTGCGCCCCGGGAAAGGGAGGGAACCGTTGCACAGTGCGCTCTCCGAGGTGTCCAAAGGACCTGGTGGTGCCGGGGCCCCGGAAAGGCTCAGCTTGCCGTGACGACGGCTGTGCGGAGAGGGAGGGTCCGTTTGGGGATGGCTGGGTCTGGCAAGGACGCAGGGCTGCAACCAGGAGCCATGCCCAGCCCTCAGACACTTGCTGGCGCCTCCGACTGTTCGTTTGCGCGCGAAGGCCACGCGACCAGCTGCGAAGTGACGGAGTGGCCGCGTTCCCAGGGCACTCCGTGTCAGCTTTTTCTCAATTTCCGAGTGCTCGCGCGCGAGGGAAGCGTGGGGAGAGTGCAGCAGCAGCTGCGGCAGCGGGGTGCACGTGCGGAGCCCAGAGCGCGAGAAATCCGCTTCGCGGCTCTTCGGCGCGCGCGTCGAGGAGCGGAGAAGGACCTTCCTCCACTTGGCGGAGGCGGGCTGTGATGGCGAATGGCGCTGTTTCTGCAAATCGCCCCACCCAAAAGGCACAGCCGGCCAATCCTGTTCCGGGGGTACGCGCTTTTGGGGTGTATTAAAGGGGAACCAAGAGGAGGTTCTTTTTTTGGGGGTACCCTCAAAAGCGACCGACCCAAGTGATAGCAACCGCTGAGGATGGCGGTTCTGGCCATGAGCTTGGCAAGAGCTGCGCAGCCAGCGTTTAGATCGCCGGCTCTGCCCAGGCTGCGATCTGCCCTTGTCGGACATGAAGCCCTGCTCAGCAGAGGCTCCGCGCCTCGCCCCCTCGCAAGTCGCCTCAAGTTTCACGAGTCGCCTCGTGTTGTCAGGGCCGGAGGCTGCAGTCTTGCCCGCCTACGGACTGTGGCTGCGCCGGGGTCTCGGCACACCCACCGTTGTGAGCGAGTGAGCGCGAGATGAGCAAACTGCCCAAAACAGAGGGCGGGAGACGAACCATCCCTCGCTCGCCAGTGGCGCCCTTTTCAGGTCTGGCGCGACTGGTCCGAGTGGAGTGCCTGCACCTGCGAGTGCGGCGGAGGCAGCTTCCGCCCAAAAAAAATCGCGCGCCTCGGGGTGGGTTCCGCTGCGCCTGCGCCTGGGCCTCGCAAGGCCAGAAGACCCGGAATCGCCACATTGCGCGGGCGCCCTTGCCCGGCTGCACGCCGGGGGCCCGAAACCCGACTCACCGAACCTTCGCTTCGGAGGGGCGGCCTCACGGCAAAAACGGGAACATGGTCTTTGAGGGTGCCCCTTTTTGGGGGCTTTGAAGAGAAACCAGAAGGAAAGCCCCTTTCTTGCTCTTTTGGTTGGGGCGAGGTCCCAAAAAGAGAGACACCCACACTCAGGCCATGCGAGCCGTCGGATAAGCAGCAGATCCTGCCGTGCAACACGCAGCAGGGGGCCTAAGCTGTTGGCTGTTTTGGCATTGTTCTACTTTTTTCGGCCGTGGCATAGATGATCCACTTTGCATGATCCACGTTCTCTAGCGGTTGCATGCATGCGCATTTTTTAAAGTCACCACACCACCGGCCGTCATGTTGTCATGTTATTTTCTTTGTGTGTGTGTGTGCGCCTTCTTCTTTGCATTCTTTGCACCAGCGGCTCTGCATTGATGTGCAATTTGCATCTATGATCCAACTTGGTTTGTTCCCTGCGATTGTTGCACGCCTGGCCTTTTTGTCATTGCATGCACGCTCTTTGTTTTGCCTTCAGTGTGTAGATTTTGTCCGCTCCCGCGACACAGTGTTTATGGTCTTTGACACACTTAGCTTTTGGTGCTCTTTGCAGTCTCTTGTTTTGCTTACAGGTTCAGCCCGGCTACTAGCTGATGCAATTTGGATTTGTGGCACGTCCGCTAAATGCCCTTTCATTCCAAGTCTCCTTGGGTTATTTCTTGGTTTTGCGACCCTGCCAGCAGCCTGCTGCAGCTTTCCACCCCCAGTTTTTGTTGCCAGGAAATGTCAGGAAGATGAATGCGTCGATGGCCTGTGGGGCCTATGGCAGGAATGGGAGCCATGCTCCAGCACCTGCAAAGGCTGGTGCTTGCGCCTTCCAGTGTTTGCAATGTCTCCATTCATCGCGTTCATTGTATATGTGTCATGCCACGTCCAGGTGGAATCACGTGGCGCATGCGGAAGATTGCTCGGCACGCCAGCGAGTGCGGGCCGCAGGACGCCAGATTTGACCTGCCAGCTGACAACTCGTGTGGACGCGTCTCAGTTGTGGGCGGCCCGTGGAGGGCGTGTCGCAGCACCACGCCAGTTGCAACGAAGGCCGGGGGCAGCTCCGAGATCCATCTCAACTTTTGCCAAATGGCGTGAAAGCTAGGCGTCCGCTCGTCCCATCCCGTGCTTCACAGCTTTGGCTCAGGAAACTTGCTTAGGAGCCATTTCGCAGCATGGCGTACGCCGCGGTCTTCGCCCTGCTGGGCCTGGGTTATGCATGCGACGAGGCGTGTGAGGCTTGGCTCAAGTGCATGCAGACTTGGCTGCGTGAGGACTGCCACATGTCGCTGCTGCAGACGGGGCAGAAGCTGCACACCGAGCTGACCATGACGTATGTCCCCTGAGCGGCAGTTTGGGCGAAGCCTCTGGAAGGCTTGGGCTTTTCGCACGGCCCAGGTGCCATTTAATTTCGGCCACACCGTGGCGGAGAAGGCCGCGCAGCACGGGATCAAGTGGGGCGACTGCGGGTCGCGCGCGCCCATCGAGGCGCCTTGGCTTCAAAAGGGCGGAGTCGGAGTCGGCGTCGGAACGGCGCTTCTGCGGAGCTGAGGGCTGCATTGGCTGGATGAAGTCGGAGGTCACTGGCTGCGACTTGATGCACCCCCGGAGGGTTCAGACGGGGGCTGCGCTCCTTTCCGACAGGTACACTCCGGGGAAGTATTGGCCGCAGATGCTGGCCGAGACCTACTTTGGCAACCGCACTCTGGCAGCCTGGTAGTTTTTGAAGCCGTGGTCGCCTTTCGCGGTTTGAAAAAAAACGTCAGGGGCCTCTCTTTTTTTGGCGGGGGGGTTGCCAAGTGGCATCACAGGCCCCGTTATTTTTTGGTCGGATGGATCGGATGGGAGGTACCGCCTTTGGTATTTTGCGGGATCCCTACGAGCGGCTGGTGGCGCAGTTCCGGGGCACCTACCGGTTACAGCACCCGGAGTTCCAGTGCGATGCCAATGCCGCGGTGAGGTTCGCTCGGAGGGTGTGTCGTTTTCTCCGAGACGCGAACGCGCCCCCAGGTATTCGTTTCGTTGGAGAACTTGTGGTGCCAGGAGCATGATGGAGGAGTACCTCGAGGCCCTCGAGTCGGGGAACCCTTGGTACAACAACTGCAACTACCTCCCGCAGGCGCTCGCATGTCATGGGCAGTCTTGATGCCGGTTTCCTCCGTGGGCTTTGTGGTCAGGCGGAGTTTTTTGACCAGCCCCACGGCGCGCACATCGCGATCGACAACAGGGAGTTCCCGGAGTCTATGAACCAGACGCTTGAATCACCGGAACCCAAAGTGGAGGCTTTTGGCCACCTTTGGATCATTTGGACGCACTGAAGCCGAGGATTTTTCGTAAAACGGGCAACGAGCACCTTGAGATTGCCACTGAGGAGGACGGGGGTGAGCCATGCTTTCGCGCGCTCATCGCGCGCGCGCGCGCTGATTCGCTTTTTGTTTTTTTAATGTCGAGGTGGCCCACGTGGGTGGCTGCGACACGCAGTGGGCGGCCGACCTGGACAGTGAGACGCGGGCGCTGGTGCGGAAGGCCAGGCTCACGCCTGCGTGGCAGTCAGTCGATGTCAGTCGGCGCTTTTCCGTGAGGTGTACCACCGGGACTTCCAGCTGCTCTGCGAGAGGTTCGGATATTGCGATGTGGAGGAGAACACCTGCCTCACGCGGGTGCCACAGATGTGCCCGCCGCAGCTCTATGAGTGGAACACGGAGGCCAAGATGTACGAGCCGAAGATGTAAATAGATTGGATGGATGATGCCAAGGCATCAGCTTGCTTCAAGGCCAAACGCGCCCGTTATGCAGAAAGCAGTTGAAAACAAGCGCTCGTGCAAGCACAAAGGGCGGGCTTTTCGGAGGATCTTGCGATTGCCACTGGCGCAGGCGTCTCCTGCGTGGAAAGCACGGACTGCCAGTTGGGCGAATGGGCCGTGCGGCGCTTGGGCGCGCTAAAGCCGAACGCCGAAATACCGCGTCGGGTCAGCGCTTCGGCAACTTGCGAGGCCTGGAGCGCGTGCACGCAGGCCTGCGATGGCGTGAAGCGCAGGTGGGGAACAGCGGAGGTTTTGGGTTTCTTCAATTTCTCCCGGGGTTTCCCAAATTTGGGCGTCCCATTGTGCCACAGTCGGACACTCCCATTTCGTTTCGGTGTCCCATTCCCGTCGCTCGGATCCGCAGGTCCCGGCAGATCGCGGTGCAGGGAAGAGGCGCTTTGGAGCGCCGGGTTTCGCGCTGATTTTTTTTTCGCCAGGTGATGGTGCCTATTGCATTGGACCCATGCACCAGCCGGATGCCTCGCGGCCATGGGAACTGGATTCTCTTCGCCTCGCGCCGAGGACGTACCCGTGCTCCACGGACAAGGGCTTGCTGGAGTTCAGCAGTCCAGCCCTGTGCCCTCCCGGATTGGTTTTTCAAGGGGTGGGCCGATGATGACCCGCCAATGTGCTTGCGTGTTCCCCTCCGTTTTGCTGCAGGTACTTGCACCTGGACAAACTTGTGGAGAAGAACGTGGACCGGGGTCAGGCCGATGCTCTTGCCAAGCAACTCGCTGCACAGCCCTCGTTGGGGCCATGCGAGGCTCAGCTGAAGTATGGCGACGTCACAAAGCTGCCAGGCGGGCGTGAGCCGGTGAGCCGGTGAGCCGGTGAGCCATGAGCGTCGGATTTCGAAGCCAGGAGACGAGTCCAGTGTGGATCTCGTGGTCGCCGCCACGAGTGCCATGCAGTCCATTGGCCGGGGGCTCTGGTTGCAGAATTTCTTGCGATTGGCGCAACTTTTGCACGGCTCCGTCCGATGTTGGCCGTGCAGCTGGCTCGAACCGGGGCGATCTCGGCTCGGGCCTCTCGCCGCGCAATGAAGAGGGCGGCGGCCCTTCTGGCTGTCGCCACAGGCGAGCCTCCAACAACCGAAGTTTGACAAAGCTGCGAGATTGACATGGGAGACTGGTGATGTGGAATCCTTCTGAGGGGGGTTTTGATTCGTTTGATTCCCGATCAATCATCATTCTTCAATGCTGCAATCGAAGGCTGTTGGACTGTAGAGGTGGCAAGAGTGAATGTTAGCAAGACGGACCATGTCTCTCGGTCCTAGTCAATAGTCATCTACGTGTTGATTGGTTCCCTGGTGCTTAAGTCCGTCGACAGTCTGGGAGATTCCTGACGCAGACTCCATTAGTTGCCCGCAAGGCGCGCCGAACAACACCGAGGCCAGTGGGATTTGTGCGTGTGGCTTCGTGCGCTGTTGCGCCTTGCGGGGTGTGTTTCGCGTTGGACTTGGAGAGCTCGGGTGTCGCTCAGGCACCCTTCGGCCTGGCCAAGTGTCCTTGCTTGGGCTTCTCGGGTGTCGAGGGCACCGCCACAGTGCTGCTGGGCGAGCGCTACGTGCCCTATCCAGGCCGCGCCCGTGACGCTGTGGGCAGAAAGGGCTGCAACCATAGCTGTCCTTGTTGGTTGGCTTGCAAAAGAAGAGGGCCCTGTTTTAGATGGGGTTATTCCATTTACCAGGGCCATCGATTTTTCCCAAAGGCCACCTATGCAACGGGGGCTTGGGGAGGGCCAAGCCGCTTGAGTTGGCTCGAGCGCGTTGGCCAAGGCGACCTGGGCAGCCGCTGCTCAGCCTGGGACGACGGGCGCCAGCCAGACGCGTGCCTCGAGGCGCGGCAAGTTGCGTGGCAAGTCGCGTGCCTCGAGCGTCCGCGAGGGCCAAGAGCCCGGCAAGGGCAACGGCTGGTGCAAGCAGTCGTGGCTCCGCCCCCAGAGGCTGACTGGTGGCTGCAAGGCGTGGCCGCGCCCAGGTGTTATGTCGACCCCAGGAAGTGCGACCTAGAGGCCTTCGATCCAATGGAAAGCAGAGTGCCCCGTCCCTCGGTGTCAGGCGGTGCCCAGCATGTCGAGCTACCTGCCCACGGCACGCTATCAGAATCTTGGCGGAAGCTCGCGGGCTCTGCGCTTGAAGTAAAATGCAGCTGAGGGGAATGCCCCTGTTCTATTCCTATGCCACTTGCGGCAACCAGGCGCTTGGGTCAGGCGTAGGCTAAGCGTGTGCCTTAGAGATTCTTGGATTCTGTTGGGTGTTTTTTTTTTTAAGGGTACGTCAGTCTAAGAAAAGCCGACGTCAATTGGGTCCCCTAAACGGTACGCGCTGGCGGGGTGGCTGTTGGAGGAGCCGGAGCCTCACCCGGACGCTGGGCAGACTGGCTGCGACTGCATCGGCTTCGACAACCGGGCGGGCAGCGTGAAAGCGCGCATCGACGGCGCCCACGTCCGCTACCCCGGGGAAGTCGGTGGAAGCTGCAAGGCCCTTCGAGTCACTTCGAGTCACTTCGAGTCACTTCAGTCAGTAAACCAAGGGGAGGGAGCTCCAGTTGACAACTTGCACCAGTTGAAAAATATGTGTTCAGATGGGTGGCTCGTCGTTTTTGAGAATCAGTCTTGATAGGCGCCCCTGTGAGCTTGGGGCATGGCCAGGCCTGGGATTTAGAGAATCATCCTGCCTGCGCGGTGAAAGGCCCGGCTTGCCGCCGTATGCGTTCCATGCGTTCCATGCGTTCCTTCCGCGACTTTGCTCGGCGAGGCTCCAAGCCCTCCTTCTGCTCGGAGAAGTGGTGCTTCGTGGACCCCTGCGGCTTGGCTGAAATTCGCTCCGAGGGACGCGTTTGCCGGATCCAAGAGCGCCGCATCGAGGTAAGTGCAGCTTGAAGACGCCTCCCAAGGAGTCCGTGTACCTGAACGCCACGCTGCCGCTTGGCACAAGACCTTCAGGTGGCGAGGCCAAGTCTTGAGATCCAAGGGGCGGCAGATCGATCTATTACTCCTACCAGACCTGCGGCGCGAACGACACTTTCACGGAGGTCTACAACAGGATCTTTCTTTCATCTTCTTTTCTTTCCGTTTATATGGCATTCAGAGTTGAGATCACATGCTCAAGCCATGTTTCCAGGAATGCTTGTGCTGAGCTCAGCCCTCTGCTGCTTCTGTCGGCGGTCCGGTAGGGCCGCGGGCCGCGCAACTCACGCAAGTTGCGAGGCACCATTGCCGGGGAGGAGGACCTGATGCGGTGCCTGTGCCCTGTGCGTTCGCGCTGGCGTGAGAGGAGTGCGGGAAGCTGCCCAAGTGCGCCTGGACGGGCACCCGGTGCCTGGGCAAGGAGCTGGTGGTGCCGGAGCTCTGCAGCGCCGCCGAGGCCAACCCGACTTCCCTCCGATGTTTTTTACTTGACTCTCGGGTTGGATCTTTAGCCTTTGACTTTTGGTTGAAATCAAGTTGGGCTTTCCACTAAACTTCCCCCCAAAAGTAAAAACCACTTTTCTGCAGGGTCGACAGCAGCCAAGCTTCCGCCCGACTTCTCGAAGCTCCCCGCGCCAGGAGTACAACGGCACCACGGTGGAGGACCTCCGCAGCGGCGCCAAGCTTCCGTTCAGGTGCCTCTGGGGCGCCCTGCTCGCCCTGCTCGCCCTGAGCGTGCGGCGATGACCGGGCGAGGGAAGACCAGAGAAGAAAAGGAGCGAGTTGCGAGCTGCGAGTCGCGTGCGACCCATTGGCCATGGCAATGCCCGAGATCCGGAGAGAACCGGGCTGCACGGCAGCGTGGGCAGCGTGGCCACCGAACCAGGAACCGTTCCGGCACGGCCCCCCTTGCTCCCCAAATTCCCGACAGGAACCTCCGTGGATGTGGAGTTCATCCTGATGAAGCCCAGGGCCCAAGAGAAGAGAAACGAAAGTCGTGTTCCCTCCGTCTTTCAGGTCAGGCACGACGGAGGAAGTAAGGGCAAAGATGCTGATGCTGAAGTGGGGGTGCTCAGATTATACCTGTGGGCGTGGGGGCTGAGATGAATTGAGCCTAGGTTGTTTGACCTCTCCGACGGCTCCAAGCTGGAGGCAAGGCGACGGGCAACGAGCACTCACGTGCCAAGACAGCAGCGAGGTCAAGGACTGTGATGAGCCCTTCCTGGCGCGGGAGACGCAGCTGGCGGCCTCAGCTTCTGGATCCGGGGATCCCCCGGTCGTCCGCGGGAAGCCCCGCTTCCCGGCTTCGAGGCTGACGGTGCATGGGGAGGATGGCGTGGTGATCACTTCGCAGATGCCGGGCACCTCGGCGCCCAAGGCGCGGCTCGCGGCCGCTGGGCCGCTGGGCCGCTGGGCCGCTGGGAGTTTGATTTGCGCCGATTTGGGCTTGTGCGCCAGGATCCGATGAGCGTGAGCCCGCGGCAAGAGATGCAAGCGGCGGCAATCTTGTTCAAGGAGCCCGAAAGGTTCCAATGGAGTATCGAGTGCTTGTGAGCCATTGCAAGGACACCAGCCGTGCTCGGGTTACCTTCACTTCGGGCAGTGGTGAGGGTCAGCTTCAAGTCGTGCGCACGGCCCTTCGCCCTTCGCCCTTCGCCTTGAGGCTTGCTCTTCGCCGGAAAGGCCTGCTGGAGCGGCGATTGCCTCATCAGCGCCTGCGGCCGGGGCGACGATTCCGTGGACTGCGCCGGGGCCCGACGATCCGCTAAACCGCTCGCCCGAAATCCTCGCAGGTCGCTCAAGTCGCCTAAGTCGCCCGAGGTGATGAACGAGTGGCAGCCCTGGGGCCCATGCTCCGTGAGCTGTGGCCGCGGGCAGCGCGCCCGGCGGCCTGGAGTTTCTCTTGCGGGAAGCTCAAGATGAAGCTCAAAGCCCAGGAATCGCCGGGTGAATATCAAAGGATCAAAATAGGTGGTATAGGTGGTATAGGTGGTACATGGGAGTTCATCCGGCCCATTGCTCGCCATACACTCATGGTCATTTGTTGCAGGTGCGGTCCAGGACCGTGCAGTCGCTGAACTCCCATGGCGGGCGGCCCTGCCGCTGCCCTGGCACGGCACCGCTCAGCCCGTGTCACCCGCGCTCCCTCAGGCCACACGGACCTGTCTGCCTGGGCCCAAGCATCAGTTTCACCCGTCTCGATCGCTCACTGCCCAGGAGACGGAAGGATGCCGCGCAGTCTCGTGCGCGGAGGTGTGGAGCCCTTTTTGCCTTTTGGCGGATGGTTTTTGGATCGAGGCTTGCGAGGCGCAAGACTGCGTCTGGTCAGACTGGTCCGCTTGCGCCTCAGCGCGGGCGAGTTTCCGTGCTTCTGGGGAGACTTTTGGGTGAGGACTGGGGCGCCTGCGACAAGTGCGGCGGGCAGATGAAGCGCTTCCGGAACGTCATCACTCCGTGCGGCCCACAGGAACCACGTCGAGTGATCAAGCTGAGCGCTGAGCGAGGTCCAGCTGTGGTGGCAAAGGCTGCGAGCGCGCGGCCCGGTCTTGGGTGAAACCGCTGCGGTTGTTGTGATGCGCTTTTGACGAGGGCGGAAGGCGCGGAGGAGACCGCCAAATGCCCCCGAAAGTGTCCGGGGCTTGGCATTTCACTGACTTTTTCGCAAAGTGGTGTGGCACAAAGAGACTGATCAATGACATGGATGCTCTTACATGCATGCACACATACAAACACACACATCTATATCTACATAATATAGACCCATACGGCTGTTGCTGATGACTTCCCGAGGTCACGAGCTGAGCTACTGCACTTGGGGCCGGCGCCTTGGAGCTTTGGAGCCTTCGCCTCAGCTCCCCCCGATGGCTCGAGCGCGCGAGGCGACTGGGGGCCCTTCGGGGAGTGCACCTCCACCTGCGGCCACGGCCAGCCGAGAGCGATGGATCTCGAGTTGAGTTGGGGTGTGTGTGTGTGTGTGTGTGTGTGTGTGTGTGTGTGTCGTTTTGGAAACGGCTGCCTCCGGGGGAAAGCCGAAAACGGGGAAAGCCCCGAAAACCACCGCGCCGAAGGGGTTGTGAAAGCGAAGCAGCGCATGCCAGGCATCAAGAGGCGCACCAGAAGGCTCAAAGTCGTTGATGTCCTCAGCTCAGGAAAAGTGAGGAAAGCCGCGAAACGGGTAAACGCGTTTCCTCGTTTTGGGAGCGCTCTGGCCCAAGGAGCCGGTGAAGTCGATCATCGGCGAGAGCTTCATGGTCCGGGACTCGACAGAGGGGCTGAGTCGCCATGTGTAAGTTGCTCAGGGCACCGAGGATCTAAAAGACAAGCGGCCGCCTTAGGCATTGCGCATCAAGGGCATGGCGCGCATAGCGTGAGAGATGGGGGGTTTGGACTTTGGACGCGACGGGTGATCAAGGTTCCATGAACTGCAGCAGCGCGCGGTGCAGCTGGAGGCAGGAAACGGAGCTTGCGGCCTTGTCCCACACATCCCAAGCTTTTGCCCAAAGTTCCAAGTTTGGAAAGCAAGATGACATCCGAAAACCGAATCAATCCACTAGGTTTCGTTGTTCCCGTTGAGATCCGTTGAACCTCGTTGATTCGTTTCGGACGGACATTTCGGAGCTCCCATCCGCCACAAAAATGGGAATTGGGGACCCCCCTCTTCCCCTTAAGGTAGTTGACGCCTCGTTTGGGAGCCGTTTTGGAGACGCCTCGGTGTTTTTCGCGTCGAGTCGTTTCGTTTCGGCGCAGGCGGCGCGGTCGCAGCAGCTGGTGGTGGCCTTCGCCTGCGGCTTCCTGGGACTTGTGGCCTTCGTGGCCGCAGGCCGAAACCCGAAGTCTCTCGGAAGCGGAGCGAGCGAGACGAAGTCTTCTTCTTTTTCCTCTTTTCTTTCATTTTTTTCGTTTTTCTGACGGTCTTCACGGTCTCCCTCTTCTTTTCCTCGCTTTTCCCCTTTCTCGTTTTTGGTTTCTTCTCGTCGGTTCTCGTTTGGTTGGACGTTTCTTTTGACTTCCCTTCCGGCCCCGACACCGACTTTGCTCGCTTCGGTGGTTTTGAGCTTGGAGTTTTTCCAGGTCGCCGCAGCTCCTGGGCGACGGCGCCGGCTCCCCTGGTTCTCACTCGCCGGGGGTTGCGGCGAGAGATGGCGAGAGATGGCGCGAGAGGGCGAGCGCTGCAGCCCAGGTCCGACTACAGCCGCGTGGCAGGCTCCGACCAGGAATGAAGGCGCAACGGCACGTGTGCAGCGGCGTCGTGGCGAGTGTGCAACGCCAGACGCCAATCGCTTGCCTGAGAACTTGAAATCTTGGCCCAGGTCGACCAAATCGGACTCGGCGTTTCACTTGAGAACTTTCGCATGAGGCGGCAGTCCATGCACCTCCCTTTTTCTCCGCCTTCGGTGCTGCCGAAGACAGCGCCGGCCGGGCTGCGTGGATGCGCAGCCTAAGGGAATCGAGCGACGCACGGAATCGATGGGTTTCCCGGGCCCGCGCCTGGCTTCAAGCCTTGCGGGCCGGCCCCAGCTTCTCCAGCTCCGCCCAAAAGTCAGCCCCAACACTCGGGGCTCATAGCGAGATGCTCATGGCATGTCAAGCGTGTCTCGACCTAGGCACGTGGAGCGTTTCTTTTGGGCGGAAGGACCTGGGAGAAAGCAACATCTTAGCGCTCGGTTTCACTTCTGAGACACCTGGTTGAGCCCGCAGCGCTCGCACCAAAGTTGTGCTGTGCTGTGCGAGATTCCTCACAAAAAGCAAAGGCAAGAAGCCAAACTGGGTGGTGCGAGTGCAGCATGGTGGTGCGGTTGTCTTCGCGATGGTGCGCCCTGTCGCCGATGTGCCGCGTGCATGCCGCATGCCGCATGCCACGACAGGATTTCGGCCAGGATTCCTCATCCGTCCTTGCGTTTTTTGGCCAGCTCACCATGCTGTGTGGCGGCGGCGAAGTACGCGTAGGAGGCGGTGGGAGTGCCGGAGGGGGTGCTGGGGGCGCTGGTGCCGCCGGCGGGAGCCTCGGCTGTTATGACGCCTGCATCGAAGGCCGGGCTTTGGGACGGACTGTTCACGGCACGGAGTGATCCATGAGCCTCACTCACGCTTGAATGTTTCTCCCCTCGCCTTGCCAGTCGATGAATCCAGCGTCCAGCACGTGGACCAGTGGGTCTACATGGGCGAAGGGAAAGGCTCATATTCGCAAACCGCTTCCATGGAGTTCATGGGCGCAGGACCCGTCAAAGCTGGGATCGTGGAAATCACAAACCCGCGCCTTTTCGGTAAGTCCCTCAACTTGTTTCGCAGAGCGACTGATCTCAGCCATTTTTTGCAAAAAAAAACATGAGTTGCGAGTTGCGACCGTTTTTGAGAGGCTATGCGAGGCATGGCAGCCCGCACTTGTTGCTAGACCCAGGTTCCGAAGTGGGACAACAGGATACGAACCGAAACTTAGGCGAGATCGAACTCCAGTTCCTTTTCCCTTTCTGTTCGAGCCTTTTGAAACACGCGCAACGAGTCCGGCTGCCGTGGCCACCCTGGTGACTTAGAGCACTTAAGAAAATTGATGCAGACAGAAAACGTTACCGGCCGATAGGGCCGGTCGGCGGAAAGCTTTTGCTTCAGCCCCACCAGGTGGCTGACTTGACGTAAGCCAGTTTTGTCCTCAGGACGCGGGGCGTATGAGCGAGAGTTTGTCAAGAATGGCGTCCAGCGCTGCCGCCCTGCGTGCGTGGCAGCCGGTGTTTGCTGTGGCCTCCTGACCTTGCTTGGCCACTTGGCTGCTTTGAGCTCTGCGGTTTTCTGGCTGCGTCGGATTCAGCTTGGGAAATTTGGTGTGCGGGGCCATCGATCTCAGGCCTATTGCTGTTCTTCCTCTTGCCGCGCAACGTTGGTCAGGCTGACATCGATGTGCCCGTCCCTGGGTACGACTGCATCACTGACTACCACGACTGGCAGAACCGTTGGGGCGTGGAGCATCGCGAATTCTGCTGCCGAAAGGAGGGCCGTGGCTGTCCCCAGGCTGCGCCGGTCCACGTGGTGCATGTCCCCGTGCCGCAGCCGAGCCACACGCACTACGTCCCCGTGCCAGTGCCTGGCCCGTCCCACTCGCACGTGGTCTACCGCACCCACTACATTCACTCGCCCGCTCATGTGATCTACGTGCACGACCCTCCTGCCCCCCAGCCCCACCCCGACTTCGAATACGACTGCAACGAGGGCTACTCCAACTGGTACTTCGGGTGGTCGCTGCATAAGAAGTCGTGGTGCTGCGATCACCAGCACATGGGCTGCCCAGGAACGTGGCATGGCAGCTTCCACCTCCACACCAACGTGCACATCACACATGGGGTTGGCCACGCACATGGCCGGATCTACGACTGTGGAGCTGGCTACTCCAACTGGATGCAGGGATGGTCAGACTCCAAGAAGGACTGGTGCTGCGACAAGGAGAACAAGGGCTGCGTCAAGTTCCACTGCACCGGGGAGGTCGCTTGGCAGCATTTGGCTGTTGACATGTTTAAGCACAGCTCTGCAACATTGATGTTTAGTGCTGACAGATGAGGCTCACACTTGGCACGGTGCCAAGCAACAGTGGTGCCATGGATGCAGAGCTGCACCGCAAGCTCGTCGTGCAATTTACAATCGCATGTGATTTAGGCAAGCTTTTGGGCAGCTGGGCTTGTGAGGTGCTGTGACAACTACCAGAAGGGCTGCCCTCATACAACGCTGTCGCCGCTGAAGTGTGATGCCGCCTGCACCGTGCAAGGCGGGGCAACGTTTGGCCATGTGTAGGTATGCGGCAGTATGCGTATTCCACGGAAAGGTCGAATCAGGCATCAGCTGGACATAAGTGTCAGGGTGCCGGATAAGTAGGGTCGGGGACCGGTGCAAGCGGCAGGCGAGACCTCCAAGTGCATGGACCGCATCCAGTGGGCGGCCAAGCACGTTTTCAACGACAAGGCCAGGGGCACAGCCCGTGACAAGGCTTCAAGTGAAGCGCGGGGCCGGGGTGCCGCGAGGGCGATGCCTGCAATTTGGCCTACAGCAAGATCCAAGTCGAGTGCGATGTGTGCCGGGCCTGCTCCATCCAGGTCTGGGAGGGGGGGTGAGCCAGTCAGCAGATGTTGATGGCGCAGCATGACTTGAGCAGCCAGGAAGCTGGCTGCGGAGTGCACGGCCACGCGTCTGACCCATTCGACTGCCTTGCGGCGCTCAACAACTTCTTCCGCGCCACTTGGTGCATTTGGAGGTCATACCAGGAGCGCAAGGGCACACCGTCCGTAGATCACTGCTTGCACCAAGGCTTGGTCGCCGGAGAAGAAGCATTGGTGCTGCACCAAGCAGGGCAGGGGATGCGAGGGCTCCAGCCCACCCGCGGTTGACGCGGGCGCCGGCATGATGTGGAAGCACGTGCAGGCAGGGCCGATGGAGTGATTTCATTTTTTTTCTGTTGCGGGGGGTCTAGCGGCAAGAGAAACCGCGGCAGGTGAACGGCTACTGGACTTGGCAGGCGGTGGGTGCTGGTGGCTCTGCCGTGCAGAGCCTGCCATACGATTGCCACGCTGGGCTCCGCAACTGGCACACTGGCTGGTCCGTGGGCAAGAAGGCCAGGGGGAGGCAAATCAGCAGGTTGAGGCAGTCAACACCATTTCCTTGCGTCTGGAACTGCCTGGTGAAACACACAGCTGACTTCCTGCTAGAGCCTTGTGCCTTTGAGCTTCACTTCCTCACGGCATGCCTCTTCCCTTTGCCCCGTGATTCTAGCTTTCCCAGGGCTGGTGCTGCGGCAACATGCACTTGGGCTGCGAAGGGGGAGCTGGTGGAGCGGGCGGCTCTGGAGCCGCGGGTGGTGGAGCTGGTGGAGCTGGTGGAGCAGGAGGAGGCTGAGCGAAGGTTTGCATTTTTTGGGTGTGCATCAGCTTTCAGTGAAGGAAGGTTTCGTGTTACCCTGGAGTTGCAAGGTCGATTGTCCGGCGTTTGGCTCAAGTGTTGCACAGAAAAGTTAAGAGAAGCTGCGAGCGAGATGTGTGAAGGCGCTGTGAGAGGCTACATCGATGGATGCTTTGACATAATGCACTCTGGACATTACAATGCCATTCGGCAGGCGAAAAACATCTGTGATGTTTTGGTTGTAGGCGTGCACTCGGACCAAGAAATCGCGGAGAACAAGTCTATGCCAGTCATGAGACAAGAAGAGCGCTACCGTTTGCTGGACCACATCAAGTGGATTGACGAGATCATTTATGACGTGCCATATTCACCGGAGATTGCAACATTAGAGCGCGCCAAAGCGGACTTTTGCATTCACGGTGATGACATGCCCGTGAATTCACAGGGGGTTTGCGCCTATGACGAGATGCGCAATGCAGGGCGTTTGCGCATCATCAAGCGCACCGAGGGGGTGTCCACCACGGATTTGATCGGACGGCTTCTGACGCTGTCCAGGAATCAGCCCTCCGAGTTGCAGAGTTCCCCCAGCATGGGTCTGCGCATGAGCGCCGAGGACTTCCTTCGCCAGAGCGAAGACAAGGCTTTCGCCGCGGTGCAGAAGCTGGTGAGCAAGTACCAGATGAGCGGCGCGGACGCCAAAGAGCTGGCACAGCTGGTCGGGGTCTCCGAGCCGGAGTCTGAGATGGGGGCGGCGAGCGGGTACCAGCAGCGCACCAAGGCGCCAGTGCAGCTGCTCGCAAGCACGCGCCGCATCCGTGAGTTCTCCTCGGCCAAGCAGCCTGCGCCGGAGGACTGCGTGGTCTACGCCTGCGGTTCCTTCGACATGTTCCATGTGGGCCACGCGGAGTTTCTGAAGGATGCGCGGGCACAGGGCAGCTTTTTGCTGGTGGGCATCCACGATGATGCCAGCATCAGCCGGGCCAAGGGCCAAAACTTGCCGGTCATGAATCTCAACGAGCGCGTGTTGAATGTTTGTGCCTGCAAGTGGGTGGACGAGGTCATCATTGGCGCGCCCAGGGACGTCACGGAGGACCTCATCAAGACCTGGGACATCCACGCGGTTGCCAGGGGCTCCGGCCACAAGAGGGATCCTGGGGACGAGCGGCGCTTCGAGGTGGCCCGGACGGCCGGGATCTACAAAGAGCTCCCCTCGAAATGGCCGGAGCTCTGCCACGAGACTGTGGTCGAGCGCATCATCCACGGCCGTGAGCAGTTCTTGGCGCGCAACAAGGACCGGGCCAAGCGGGAGGACGTGTACTACGAGGCCAAGAAGCCCTCCACTTCGCCGGCTGAGGCGTGAGCCTTGGCATTTCGGTTTCTCGGAATTTCACCCATGTCTCACTCCGATCTCTCGGCCGAAGAGAAGAGCGTGGTTTCAGCGTGGGGCGGGGGGGGGCGCTGACGATCTCAGCTTGGGCGCTCGTTTGTGGTGCCAGGGGCCTTTGGTCACCCGCCGCATGCGGCTTCTGGCGGCATGATGTGGCAGTGGTCCACTTCCGGAGGCGCGGGTTGCCGCACTCCGTCGACACGCGTTGGTTATGGGTGGAAGTCCGTGCTTGTTGGAGCCGTTTTTGTTAGGTCGTTGGGTCTAGGCAATGGGGATGGGCAATTGAAACTCGGCCAGGTGGGCATTGGATGGAAGTCCACATGGGCGGCCACCTCCCCTTCGACTGTTTCGCCGGCCATTCCAACTGGCGGGCCGGCTGGTCTGTGCCCAAGAAGGCCGGGCTGCGCGCGGTCGGTTTCTCGCCTGCGAGCGCGTTGCTTTCTTTCTAGGGGACACTTCCCCATTGATCCTTCTTTCCAGCAAAATTATCAGAACCCCAGGGAAAACAGCTGGATGTTAAAAGGAGACTGATGGAAGAAAAAAGAGTGTTTGTTTGAACAGCCAGGACTGGTGCTGCCAGCACATCGGCAATTCTTGCCAATGAGCCGAGCGGCTCCACGCACGAGCGCCACGCACCGCTGCTCGAAGTTAGCAAGCGGACTGAGCGACCCGGGGACCCTCCCGCCGAGCCATTGAGCAGGGCCGGGTTTGCAGGGACCGAAGGGCATCGGGCAGAGCTGTGCTGTTCGGCCCTGCGTTTTCCCGTTTTGGATAAATTATCTTTCATCTTTCATCTTTTTTGTTCCTCCAATCGGAGCAACAGAGTTTCCGCAGCCGTGCGCCCACGGATCTAAGCCAGGGCGTGCAGGTTCGCGGAACCAATTTGTATCCCTTACCATCCCTGAGCTGCACGTGAACTGCCGCGAGAAATAGCGGGCCAACAGATGGGCGTGGGCAGTGCTTGGCGGTTGTGATCTGAATGCTTCGAGTTTTGGCTTTTGGACGCAGGTGGCTGGGCTCAATCCCAATCGTGCCCTCAAGGAACATGGCCGTGGATCAAGGCTCCTACAAAGTGCCCAGGCTGCACAACGAGTGTTTAGGAGTTTAGTTGTGGCCACGGCGTGGCCATTGGCGTGGCCTGGCCATTGGTGTGGCCATTGGTGTGGCCTGGTGTGGCCATTGGTGTGGCCGCTGAACCTTGCTGTGAGCCTGCATAGAATTCAGTCCAGCTTGGGGCAAATCCGAGGCGGTCGACACAGGATCGGGGGCAAGCACTGCCGGCTCGTGCTGCGCAGGACCGGCACGCAAGAGAGATCGCACAGCGAAAGAGTTCCGACATAAAAGTTGATCATATTGATTACGGTAGGTGTGTATCAAGGCAGGGGAGGCAAGAGAGTTGCCCGTGCAACCGAAAAAAGCCTTCCTTTCTCTCGCATCCAGCTGCAATTGTTTTTTGCCAGGAGCCCTGGCTGCTTTCCTCCTGGTGCTGTTCGCGTGCGGCCGGGCCCACAGAAAGGAGCCGACGAAAAGCACGAGCAAAAGCCAAAAGCGGGGGAGAGGCGCCTCGCTCGAGGCCTGGGTCTTTTGATTTGGTCCCTGGCGTCCGGATCTGCGACTGGCCACTCCGGCGTGGGCACCTTTGACTGCCGCTCGGCTGGGGTCATTTCTGAGATGGGCCAACCGGCCAAGCGGCCCACCGGCGCACTCACGTCGCGTGGCCCAGGTGTGGCGGACTACGCCAACTGGAAGAATGCATGGGACCAACCACGGTGCGAGTACTGCTGCGAGCAATTTGGCAGGGCATGCGCGGCAGTGGCGCCAGAGAAGAGGGCGAGGCCGGGCGGTGAGCTGTTTGAGTCGGGATGGGCGTGTCGCACTGCTGTTTCTTGTGCGGTGGCGGGTTGAGCCGAGTCGCGGTTTCGGAGCTGCGGGCTGCTTGCAAAGGGCGCGTGTCAGAAGCGCCGCAGAAGACCATAGCTCGGTGGCATCCCAAAAGCTCTCATCGTTGCGCGAAGACTTTTGGACAGTCTTCCGAAGCCCGAAGCTTTGCAGCAAGGGTGGCATTAGAAAGCAGTCAGAACAGAACCACGGAAGTCATCCGTGGAAAGGCAGGCACGCCACAGTCGCATCCCTGGCATGCGGAGCAACGCCTCTGACAGGTACGCGCACTACGAGCACGCGGAGCATACGGAGGGCCATGTCGGCACGGCTCACGGCCGGATCTACGACTGCGGAGCTGGCTACTCCAACTGGATGCAGGGATGGTCGGATTCCAAGAAGGACTGGTGCTGCGACAAGGAGAAGAAGGGCTGCGTGAAGTACCACTGCAGCGGGACGGAGAGTGCCTGGGGGGCGCAGCAGTCCGCGTGGTGCCTTGGCTGCCACGGCCTGGCTGGCTGATCATTCGCCCGATCTGCGAATGTCAGGTGCTGCGAGAATTTCCAGAAGGCTTGCCCCAAGACCACGCTGTCACCGCAGAAGTGTAGCACGCCGTGCACCATTGAAGGCAGGAAAGCTTGGGTGCTCAAGCTGAGATGTGGCCACCTGGGTTCTGTGTGCAGGAAAGACCTCCACTTGCATCGAACGCATTCACTGGACGGCAGACCATGTCTTCAACTCTAAGGACTGCGGAATGCGCATGACTTTGCTTGCACTTTGCAAACCGCAGGACGAGAAGTGCGCCTTGGCATACAGCAAGGTTCAGGTGGAGTGCGATGTGTGCCGGGCCTGCTCCATCCAGGACAGGGTTCAGGTGGAGTGTGATGTGAATGGAATCCGATTTTGCGCGGTTCAGGAAGCAGGCTGTTCTGTGCATGCAGCTGCTTCGGACCCATTCGACTGCGCTGCGGCGCTCAACAACTTCTTCCGCGCCACTCGGTGCATCTGGAGGTCATGCAAGGGCTCACCGGCACGTCCGTAGATCACTGCTTGCACCAAGGCCTGGTCGCCGGAGAAGAAGCATTGGTGCTGCACCAAGCAGGGCAGGGGATGCGAGGGCTCTAGCCCACCCGCTGTTGACGCGGGCGCGGGCATGGTGTGGAAGCACGCGAAGGCAGCGCTCGTTCAAATCGGGATCGCACGCCTGGGAAGTGTGACGTTTCCCAAACCTGGAAGTTCGCGTTTTTGCTCGAAGCGGGCAGTTTTGCCTTTGGATCTTTTTTTTGGAGGTGCTCCTGTTGAGTAGTTTGTTTGGGTTTTTGGGAAACCAAACCTAAAAAAAGCCGAAGCCCTTCTGGTTCCCTAAACCGAAAGAAGCCGAAGCCCGTGTGTTTCGAGGTAAACGGCTACTGGACCTGGCAGTCAGTGCCCGCTGGCTCCGCTCCGGGGACTCCCAGCCCGCCGCCGCCGCCGCCCAAGCCCTACGACTGCCACGCGGGCGTGGAGAACGCCAAGAGCGGCTGGTCCGTCGGCAAGAAGGATCGAGTGGCCATGGGGCATGCGAGCCATGGGGATGAATTCCATGAATTCCAGCGATTCTGGTGTTCACCAGGGGTTTCCTGTTTGGCGTTGGATCTTCAAATGCGTTCCATTGCTCCGAGCAGTTCTCGGAGCCTTTTTGGAATGCGAATCTCATCGCCAGGACTGGTGCTGTGACCATGAGAAGGTTTGCCCGGACCAGCCTTGAACGCCGTCTTCAGGTGCCGACGGCAACAAAGGTGGCACATCGGCTTGGGGGGATGCTGAAGTCTGTCTCCAAAAGGAGCCCACATGGTTGGCTTCCTTTTGGTTACCCTTTGCACCAGCCCTAGGGTTTGAACCGGACAGTCCTTAGTCACTTCAGGTGATGCCGAAAAGCTGACAAGCGATAGCTGAGAGTCACCGGTTTCACCACTCGTGTCGCGCGAACTCCAACCAATGGAAAGCCGGGCAGAATTGCCGGTTTCCGTATTTTTGCGAGGTGAAGTTGGGGGCGCCGTACCTTAAATTTGTAGCTGCATTGGAAGGCAGTTTCCACTGGGCAAAGAGACACTGGGAACTGGCCATGGCTGCATGCGGGATACCTCCGCCAAGTTTCACCCGGACTTGCATTGATTCCTTCAGGCCGCGAAAGGCGGTTGCCAGAGTTTCTTCGGCGTTGAGTTCTTTTGTCTTCCCTTGCCATGGTCTGCCATTGAGTCCCCGCAGCTTGGAAGTAAGACAAGGCATCAGCTCAATCTGCTCGCAGCAATGCCGACGCACAGCGCGACACACGGCGGCGGAGTGCACTCCGCAGGCAGGGTGCGGTGCGTGACTGTGCCGTGTCTTTTTCTCCTACGTTTTTTTTGTTTTTTAAATCAAGTGCTGAGGCGGAAGCGGAAGCAAAGGAGAAGTTTCAGGCGACATGGGGTGCTACCAAGTCTGCTTTGAAGGCCGAGCGATGTGCGACCGGATCGAAGAGATTTGCGACCGGACTTTGGAGCTGAGGTGGTGAAGCCGTAGAGGGGGACCGATGGGTCTACATGGGCGAGGGCCGTGGCTCCTACTCGCAGGAGCGATCCCTCAACTGCATAGCGATCCGGTCTCACTTGTCCCTGCACCGTGCCACGTGTTGCAGGAATCTTCTATCCAGTTTGTCGGGAAGGGTGCCGTGGCATCAACCACTTCATTGCCAGCACTTTGTGTTCATTTTACTGGCCCGGACGAAAAACCGAAGAAACAAACCCAAACAAAACAAAACAAATTCCAAAAATACATCCGCACCTTTTTTCCTTTTTTTTTGGGGGGGGGGGGGGGGGTGTACCGAGCATACGGTCACCTTGACCATAAGGCATGGGCAGCTTGGAGAAGGAGACCAAGGTTGTGGGCGCTGGAGCTTACAGGCGCGTCTGCTTGGGCACTCGAGCCTCGCGTCTGCGCATCAAATATACCCCACCAACTAACATGGAAGTGTAACAAGGCCGTTTCTTTCCAAGAGGAAACAAAATTCGTCTTTCAGGGGTTTGCGCACTTCCATGTTAGCTTCGAGGGCAACTCGCAGGCCCCGGGTTAGCCAGGTTCCGCATGTGCTGCCTGGCTCTCCTGGCGCTTCCGCTGCTTCTGGCGCTGGGCTTCTTGGCGCGAGAAGTCGACGAGTAAAAGCGCGTCGACGCGTCGAAGGCGGTTTGGGATGCCGTTTGGGGGACATGGGCTGAACGAAAATGTGTTGTTGTTGTTGTTGTTGTTGTTGTTGTTGTTGTTGTTGTTGTTGTTGTTGTTGTTGTTGTTGTTGTTGTTGTTGTTGTTGTTGTTGTTGTTGTTGTTGTTGTTGTTGTTGTTGTTGTTGTTGTTGTTGTTGTTGTTGTTGTTGTTGTTGTTGTTGTTGTTGTTGTTGTTGTTGTTGTTGTTGTTGTTGTTGTTGTTGTTGTTGTTGTTGTTGTTGTTGTTGTTGTTGTTGTTGTTGTTGTTGTTGTTGTTGTTGTTGTTGTTGTTGTTGTTGTTGTTGTTGTTGTTGTTGTTGTTGTTGTTGTTGTTGTTGTTGTTGTTGTTGTTGTTGTTGTTGTTGTTGTTGTTGTTGTTGTTGTTGTTGTTGTTGTTGTTGTTGTTGTTGTTGTTGTTGTTGTTGTTGTTGTTGTTGTTGTTGTTGTTGTTGTTGTTGTTGTTGTTGTTGTTGTTGTTGTTGTTGTTGTTGTTGTTGTTGTTGTTGTTGTTGTTGTTGTTGTTGTTGTTGTTGTTGTTGTTGTTGTTGTTGTTGTTGTTGTTGTTGTTGTTGTTGTTGTTGTTGTTGTTGTTGTTGTTGTTGTTGTTGTTGTTGTTGTTGTTGTTGTTGTTGTTGTTGTTGTTGTTGTTGTTGTTGTTGTTGTTGTTGTTGTTGTTGTTGTTGTTGTTGTTGTTGTTGTTGTTGTTGTTGTTGTTGTTGTTGTTGTTGTTGTTGTTGTTGTTGTTGTTGTTGTTGTTGTTGTTGTTGTTGTTGTTGTTGTTGTTGTTGTTGTTGTTGTTGTTGTTGTTGTTGTTGTTGTTGTTGTTGTTGTTGTTGTTGTTGTTGTTGTTGTTGTTGTTGTTGTTGTTGTTGTTGTTGTTGTTGTTGTTGTTGTTGTTGTTGTTGTTGTTGTTGTTGTTGTTGTTGTTGTTGTTGTTGTTGTTGTTGTTGTTGTTGTTGTTGTTGTTGTTGTTGTTGTTGTTGTTGTTGTTGTTGTTGTTGTTGTTGTTGTTGTTGTTGTTGTTGTTGTTGTTGTTGTTGTTGTTGTTGTTGTTGTTGTTGTTGTTGTTGTTGTTGTTGTTGTGTTTTTTGGGCCTGGTCTTGTGCGAGTGAGTCACTGAGCTTCTCTCCTCTTAGAGTTCGCATGTGGCAGTAATAAGCTTGCTCCTGAGCGGTTTGCTTGTTTGAAGGGGGTGCAGGGAGAAAATTGCCAGGAGCGCAGGTTGCCATTGCTCACGGCTTTGGGCCGCCTAAAATCAGTGCGAAAGCACTGTGCTTCCCTAGAAGTAGCTCCCCTTTCTCATTTTTTTTGGCTTTTTTGGGTCCCCTTTGTTTTCTACTCACCCGTTTTTGCTGGGGTCCTTCCAGGCAAGTGTGACCGTACCGGTTTCTGAGCACTGAGGCTTCTTGCTGTGGTGGTGGTTGCGGCCAGCCTCGCCCGGCTTCAGCGAGGTGGGTCAATGGGATCCCCTGAATTGGTGAATTCATGAATTCACCACACGATGCCACGCGTTTTGGCGGATTTTAGCGGTTGGATTGGGATGTTGACTATGTTCACTGGCGAACCGATTTGGATTTTGACCCATGGCCAGGTGGTGATCGATTGCAATGAGAATTATGAGAATTGGCAGCAGATGTGGACCACGACGCAGCAAGACTACTGCTGCAAGCAGTTCGGCAAGGGGTGCCCGCCGCCGCAGCATGACCATGTGGTCTATCACTACGTGGGGGTGCCGGTGCACCAGCCGAGCCACATTGTCCACGTGCCTGTGCCAGTTCCTTCGCCGAGCCACGTGGTTTACAAGACTCGCTATGTCCACACACCGCCACACATTATCTACCACCACATCCATGAGCCTCCTCCCCCCCAGCCCCACCCCTTCGAATACGACTGCGACCAGGGCTACTCCAACTGGTACTTCGGGTGGTCGCTGCACAAGAAGTCGTGGTGCTGCGATCATGAGCAGAAGGGCTGCCCAGGAACATGGCATGGCAGCTTCCACCTTCACACCGATGTGCACATCACGCATGGGGTTGGCCACGCACATGGCCGGATCTACGACTGTGGAGCTGGCTACTCCAACTGGATGCAGGGATGGTCAGACTCCAAGAAGGACTGGTGCTGTGACAAGGAGAACAAGGGCTGCGTCAAGTTCCACTGCACCGGGGAGGTCGCTTGGCAGCATTTGGCAGTTGACATGTTTACGCACAACTCCGCAGAATTGGTGTTTGGTGCTGACAGTTGAGGCTCACACTTGGCACGGTGCCAAGCAACAGTGGTGCCATGGATGCAGAGTTGCACTGCAAGCTCGTCGTGCAATTTACAATCACATTGACATGTGATTAAGCTTGTGGGCAGCGGCTTGCGCAAGCCACTAGGCTTGGGTGCTGAGGTGCTGTGACAACTACCAGAAGGGCTGCCCTCATACCACACTGTCGCCGCTGAAGTGTGATGCTGGCTGCACAGTTCAAGGTGGGGCAACGTTTGGCCAGGTGGCGGCGTAAGGTGGCATAGGTATGCTTCTTCTACGGAAAGGTCGAGTCAGGCACTAGCTGGACATCGTATGTAGTGTCAGGGTGCTGAATAAGTAGGGTGCGTGGAAGGACGCGCGGACAGCGCAGGGACCGGTGCGAGCGGCAGGCGAGACATCCAAGTGCATGGACCGGATCCAGTGGGCAGCCAAGCACGTTTTCAACGACAAGGCCAGGGGCACAGCCCGTGACAAGGCTTCAAGTGAAGCGCGGGCCGGGGTGCCGCGAGGCCGATGCCTGCAATTTGGCCTACAGCAAGATCCAGGTCGAATGCGATGTGTGCCGGGCCTGCTCCATCCAGGTTTGGAGGGGGGTGAGGGCAAGTGCAAATAAATTGAACAAATCAAGTGGTTTTGTCTTTGCTAAGAGGAGCCAAGGAACAACCAGCAGATGTTGACCTGAGCAGCCAGGAAGCTGGCTGCGGAGTGAGCGGCCACGCGTCTGACCCATTCGACTGCCTTGCCGCGCTCAACAACTTCTTCCGTGCCACTTGGTGCATGTGGAGGTCATACAAGGGGCGCAAGGGCTCACTGGCACGTCCGTAGATCACTGCTTGCACCAAGGCCTGGTCGCCGGAGAAGAAGCATTGGTGCTGCACCAAGCAGGGCAGGGGATGCGAGGGCTCCAGCCCACCTGCTGTTGACGCGGGCGCGGGCATGATGTGGAAGCACGTGCAGGCAGGGCTGCACCGACGGGGCGATTTCTTTTCTCTTGTTCCGCTGGAAGGGGTCCAGCGGCAAACGGCGGCAGGTGAACGGCTACTGGACTTGGCAGGCGGTGGGTGCTGGTGGTTCTGCCGTGCAGAGCCTGCCATACGATTGCCACGCTGGGCTCCGCAACTGGCACACTGGCTGGTCCGTGGGCAAGAAGGCCAGGGGGAGGCAAATCAGCAGGTTGAGGCAGTCTACCTGGTGAAACACACAGCTGACTTCCTGCTAGAGCCTTGTGCCTTTGAGCTTCACTTCCTCACGGCATGCCTCTTCCCTTTGCCCCGTGATTTTAGCTTTCCCAGGGCTGGTGCTGCGGCAACATGCACTTGGGCTGCGAAGGGGGAGCTGGTGGAGCGGGCGGCTCTGGAGCCGCGGGTGGTGGAGCTGGTGGAGCTGGTGGAGCTGGTGGAGCTGGTGGAGCTGGTGGAGCAGGAGGAGGCTGAGCGAAGGTTTGCTTTGCCTGGTCATGGATTTCATGCATCAGCCCTTTCAGCGAAGTCAGCGCTAATTCAGCGCTGCTGACGCAGCTTCACTGGGCGTGTGCGCAGGCCAATGTGCTTGTATACTCATAGACTCATAGTGTGTACACATGTCTTGCTCTGCTTTGCTTTGCTTTGCTTTGCTTTGCTTGCTTGCTTGCTTGCTTGCTGGTCAGTTGGTCGGTCAGTTGGTCGGTCAGTTGGTCGGTCGGTTGGTCGGTCGGTTGGGCGGTCAGTTGGTTGGTTGGTTGGTTGGTTGGTTGGCTGGCTGGCTGGCTGGTTGGTTGGTTGGTTGGTTGGTTGGTTCGTGACCGGTTGGTTGTTTCTCTGCAGCTTTTTGTTTCTTTGTGTGTTCGTTTGTGTCTGTGTGTCTTGTCTCTTTGTTTGACACCACGCGCTTGCGCGCGCGCGCTCGCGCGCCTTCGTGTGCCTGCGTGCCTGCCTGGGCGCGGACGCGGTTTCGAGCGATGCAGATCGACTAGGCTTTCACCACCACGGCTTCCACAACCACGCCCATCCGCCATATTCAGCGAGCAGCGGCATGGTGTGGCATTGGTCGTCCAGCCGCTTGGCACGTGCTTCGGAGCTTCGCTCGCGGTTTTGCCCTTTGCATGTGGGCCGAGGCAGTGGCATGTGGGAGATGCGCCACATGCACGGGCACATGAGCTTCGACTGCTTCGCTTCTTTGGTTTCAATCAAGTCGCAAGTCGGTGCAAGTCAAAGAAGCCAAAGTCAGGCAGGTGGTCAGCAGGCCTTGGGGATTGTCTTCTGTTTGCCCAGGCTGGCGCGTCCAACTGGCGTGATGGCTGGTCGCAACCGAAGAAGGCAGAAAGATCGAAACACAAGCGCATTTCAAGTGATGGCTGTAGCCTTGCAACTGATGCGGCCATGGGGCTTCACCTATGGCTCCATTTTGCGGTGGATAAACATCCATTTCCCGCCTATTTTGATGTTCATCAGGGGTTTCCTGGGTTTTGACTCACAGCCATGCGTGTGCTGCTGGCGCTTGTTCAAGCATGAGACTTGCGCAGGACTGGTGCTGCCAGCACGTGGGCAACAGCTGCGCGTGAGCCCTGAATACGCCGGATTTTTGCAAGTTTGGGCTGCTGGGCGGGCAAAAAGGAGGGTCTCCAGGCAGATGTTGGTTTTTAGCGCCCCGATCAGCCCAAGAGTCTGAACCTTTTGGCCTTACAGCTTTCCGCAAAGTCAGGAAAAGCTGAACTGGTCATGGACAGGCCAGCAAGTGTGGCAATTCCGGGCAATTGCTCCTCCTGTTGCCTGGCCTGTTGCATGGCTGAAGGCCGTTGCTGCAATTCTCACCCTTGGAACTGTCTGCTGGCAAGTCTTTGCAAGCGCCAGAACTGTGCTTCATTGGACATGCTCGAGAAACAAGCAAGCTTGGAATGAAGTCAGAGTCAGTAGAGTCTCTGCCCAATTTCCTTGCGTGTTGGCGAAGTCAAGGGACCTGGCCTTGATGGTATGCCGCCATTTTCAGCGTGCCTTTTTCCTGCCTCCCGATGAGCCGGTGCCCTCCGAGCGCCATCATCAAAGGCTTCCTCGAAGAAGCCGAGGCGAGTGAAACCGCACAGCAAATGCCATGGCGCGCAGTGCAGCTCAGGATGGCCTGGCATTGCACGCTCGAGCCGCGCGCGCTCGCATCCGTCGGGACGCCAAGAGTGAGCCTTCGCTTTTGCGGCGCAAGCTACGCACCGAGGCGCTGACCGAAAGGAGGACGGGCGCACGCATGGCCCGCGTTGCTGCAATCCCATGTTCCAAGGCCAGTGCGGCCAGGTTCAGCTGGGGCCCACGAGAACGCTAGGGCCCTTTGAGCCTCAGTGCGGTGAATGCCAGGTCGCTTGCAGTCTGAGGCGCGGATTACACTCACACTTCGCGCGCAGCAGATGCCCTGCAGGACTTCGCCGGAGCGAGCGAGCAGCTGGAGCTGCAAGCGCGCACGTGCCACCGGCGCTCGTCTTTCGGCCTGTGCCGGCCTTTGCCGGCCTCTGCCTCGCCAGGATGCTGGGGCTTGACCGCCGGCTGCGAGGTGGGATTCAGTGAGGTCTGGCAGTTTGGGGGCGGAGCTTGCCAGGCTTCGACGCGCGGTTCAGGTCGCTCGAGAAGGACAGCTGAAGGTCGAAGCGTCGCAAGTCGCGCGAGTCGCGCGAGTCGCAGGCCGTCACCTCAGCGGCAGAGCTGGCAGCGGCGAGCGCCAGGCGAGCGCGCTGAAGTCGATCGCCGAGAGGCACCAGGAGACATGGTGGCATCGGGGTCTCGAAAATAGCGGGGGAAATCCGAAAGTGGGTGGTTGCCTTTCGTGATTTCGCAATCCCCAAGGGACCAAAACAAGGGTCCTCCCCTATAGGCACGGGCCGTTTTCCGTGGCCAGGTGTGGCCAGGATGGCGCGGAGGTGGGCCTCCGGCCGGGAGGGCCCGGCCATCCTGAGCCCAGTGTGTCAGGCGGCGACTGCAGCGGCTGCCGCCGTACGAGTGGAGGCGGAGGCACTCGAAAGGAACGCAAGAGCACCCATATGGTGTTGCTCGGTGCGTGCCGCCATTTCTGGCAAGCGCTGCGGATTCCTTTCACTCACTTAGCGGATTCGAACCCTGCGATTCGGACCGCCTTGGCGTGATCGGTCCATGCGTGTCCGAACCAGCGAATCCCAAGAATAAAAGGATGCGACCGACGCTTTGCCCGTGGCATATGCGGCTGGTTGCTCCCTTTTCCAAGGTGGAAGCCGGACTGAAAATCATGGGCCCGACTTTGAGGATTGGTCAAGTTGGTCTTGGTAAAGTCGGTAAAGTTGGTAAAGCCCGGCTTGCCTTCGCTTCGCGGCCCAGACCGGCGAGGCGCGCTGCCGGGAGCTGGCGAAGCGGATCGATGGCCGCCGGATCTGATCGTGAGTGGGGACAGTGGGGCCATGGGTCTGGCGTGGTTTTGGGTCCGTGGTTTGGCGCGTGTTTCTTTAAAGGGGATTTCTAAAAAATAGCCTGGAAATCCGGTTCTCCCATGGAAATCCGGTTCTCCTTTAGCCTTTTTCTCCAAAACCCACCAAAAAAAGGGGCAGTCTTAAGATAGACCCATATGGGTAGCCATATCTTGAGACTCTCTGAGGCATTTTGGAGAAGGACTCTCTGGTGCATCTCGGTTGCATGGACCTCGGTTTAGTTCGCAGGACTTGGAAGCCCAGGTGGACAGCATTGCCCGACACCCAGGGGTCCGCGAGGGAAGCTGGAAGCACTCTCTCGCGTCGGAGGTGCAGAAGTGCCTGGGCAAAGACTTCCAGAGCGTCCAGAGGCTGGACAGCGGTCACGAGCATTCCGCCGGATTGCCGGAAACGGCGGTCGTTTGCGCGTGGGTTTTTCTCGCATGGTTTGGCTTGGAGGCGCTTGAGTCAGCTGGAGAAGCTGTCCAAGGAGATGGAGGCGTCAGATGCGAGGACCTGGGCCTTTGCATTCCAAATTTGTTGCAAAGAGGAGTCCGGGCCCAAAATCGCCGCGCACGAAGCGACGCGGACCCACGAGGCCCCTTAAGCAACACGGCGCTGTGTTGGCGGTCGGACGGCATCCCGTGCTTCGCAACAGGAGAGAGGGGCCTTGGAGCGGCGGCTGTGTGCTGCCGAACTGGCCGTGGAGGCGACGGCGGGCGGGAAATGCTTAGGCCTGGCGTCTTCGTGTCTTCTTTCGGCCCAGGGCTTGCATGGCCTGGTCCCGGCCCCAGGTTTTTTCCGCGGCTGCAACTGGTGTGTTTTTTCTGCTTTCGTGTTTCGGCGTGGGGTGAGGTCGGGAAGCCCTGCGCCCAGACAACCAGGAGTCGGCTGAAGCGCCTGCAGTGACTGCCCAGGCCGCTGGAGGAGCGCATGAGCAAGCTGGAGGCAGAGATCGCGAGGTTGTCGGTGCCTCTGGCAGCCTCTGCTTCAGCCTTTCAGCCCTGCATAGTCCAAGGAGAGCTCCTGAGCGCGTGGCGGTCATGCAGGAGAGCTCTTGCCTGATCGTGCGGGATTTCGGACCCGGGGCGTGACAGGACCCTGCCGCCCGCACCGGTGCGATGCGCGCGTGCCGGCCCCGTGCAGCACCAGCCCAGCCCAGCCTTTTGGTTCTGAAGGTCTGGCGATGGCAAGGGCTTGGAGCAAGAGCGGCCGGGCCAGAGGAAAAGAGCGTCTCGGGCACGTCTTTTTTTTTCCCGCACGGGGAAGTTGCGCACGGAGGCTGACGCTGGTCATACCGGACTTCGATGCCGTTCTCTCAGCGACATCGCAACAAACTCGACGAGCATCGGCCTAAGGAGTGCAGGTCGACGAGCCTCGCCCTTCGCTTCGACTCGAAGCGCTCGCCTTTCGGCTCGAGAGGCCCCGCCCCTTCGGCGTCGAGTCCATCACCGTCCAAACTGCGGGCTGTGCCTTTCCAGCAGCAGCGGCGGCCTTCGCGCTCGGCACCAGGATTGGGAGTGCAAAGTGAGATTCACACGATTTCCTTAAGGCTTGTGGGCCAAAGTGGGCCACAAAAAAATCGTTCGAAGGCTTGTTCAAGGGACACGCGCCGATACCTGCGCCCCCGATTGCCTAGAAGTGTGGCGCAGGTGCACGACCAGAGGCACCAGTGGCAATTGTCACTCCCGACGAAGAGTGCCAGGTCGCTGTGAGGCGGGTGGGGCTTCGGGCGCTTGACATTTCAGAACGAAACGTGCGCAGACACAGGGACACCGAGAGAGAGAGAGAGAGAGAGAGAGAGAGAGAGAGTGAGAGAGAGACACAGCATGACACTCAGAGAGGCACACACACACAGAGAGACACACACAAGACCGATGCAAATTCAGAAGCACGAGGTTGCCACCAACAGGAACAATCAGGAACCCAAAAGAAGCAAGCCAAAGTAGATTCAAACGACCCCAGCCCCAGCAACTGGTTTTTGGCAGCCGCATTTCAACCCCGCGTGACCGAACTCGAATTGGCTTTCGGCTTCCGCTTGCCAGGCGTGAGAGCCGCAGCCCCGGATTTCCCTCATGCAGGGTAGCCGCTTAGAACATCACGTGACTTAGATCCGGTTCCTTGCAAAGGTGGGTTTTGGATGTATAGCCCTGGAAACGGCACATCTCTGTCAACATTTGCATAACTGTCTCGCATGCCGGCGCGTTGTCACTTGGCTCAGCCGCGGCAAGCTGCTTCCGACCTAGCGAAAAAAATACGTGCAATGTGCAAGTTCGCCGAAGAGCAGGTGGAGCACGTGCTGGAGGTGGCAGGCGGGACTGCAAAGACGGCTCTGAACAAACAACTAAGAAAAACAATCAACTAAGAGAAACCGTCAACAAAAGAAGGCACAAGAGCCACTAACGGACAAGGAAGTGGAAAGGAAATACGGCATGGCTTGGCACCCTCTCTGGCGGTATTTGCCGCCAGGTTCTAGAGTGGAGGCGCGCCGGCGCAACGTCCGCGAGAAGAAGTCCAACCTGGAGAACCTGATTGTGTCAGCAGCCTGCGCCTTCAAGGAAGCGCCAAGCACAGTGATGAAGAGGCTGGGCTGGCGGCTGGCGCGCGGATCGCTAAAACATCGCGAGGTTCAACGGCACACGAGTTCGCACGGGGCAAAGGCAAATCCCTCCTCGCCAGGAGAATCCGCCAGCGCTTGCACAAAAAGCTCGGATGCGTCTTGTCCAAGAAGGACTTCGTATCCGCCATGGAGCGTTTCAAGGCTTTGTCAGAGCAACTTGGTACGAAGGTTTCGTTTTTTTTTTGCATGCCTCAAATCCGCATTGAACGCCTGCTTTGTGCCCAGGAACCCTGAGCAAGAATCAACGGACGTGCGGGCACCTAGTGGCCAGAGCCAACCAGGCCTTTTGTGTAGTCTTTTTTTCGATCCGAGCGAGGCCTGTGTGTTTTCTTTCTTTCGTTCTTTCTGTCTTTCTTTCTTTCTTGCTTGCTTTCGTTGTGTGTGCGCGTTTGTGTCAGCGTACGTTAGCGGAACCAGTGTGTGTCAAGTGTGTGTGTGTGTGTGTCAGTTTGCTGTGCGCGTGTGTGTGTGTGTGTGTGTGTGTTCTCTCCGAGGACACGCCCACACTCGAGCCCTCGAAAGCTCCAGTTGCTTGGTGATTACGCGAATCCGGACATTTTTTCAAAAGTTGAGCCGATCTACAACTGACCAAGCGACAGGCGGCAGGTTCGTGCGTGTTGACGGTTTCTGCCTCTCTGCTTGTTCAGGTTTTGCTGACGGGCAACCTCCCAGTAGAGCACACCTTCATCCACTTTGCGATGCCAGCGGAAGGATGTCGAAAGCGCTCACATTCGGTACCTCCCTGCATAAGTTGACAGGTGGGTATGGGTCAAAACTAAACCACCAGGGGACCGCAGGTTTTAGTCCATGTTTCCATTTACCAGGGTTTCATTTTGGGTACATATTTTTGACCCACAGCCAGGTGACTAACAAAAAGGATGTCATGCGAGTGTCGCAAGGTATAGGCACAGCAGGCTTCGTGGCACCGGGCCAGCGATCTTGCGCTCTGCTGTCACTTGGGCTGCAACTCGCAACGCATGCCTTGCCCGGGCCGGGACCGGGGACAAAAGGCGGGAAGGCCTGTGAGTTGGGAAGCTGAGGCCTGGCAAGCGGCGAGCGGCGCACTCGTCAAGATTCGCGCGACTTTCTTTCCGAACACAATGTTCGGATAAGCCCGGGCCCGGATGGGACCCTCGGAATAGTATCCTTGAAATAGGATCTATTTCGGGAAAGGACAAGCCGATTTTCCTTGCTTGCCGATTGCCTAGATTTCTCGTTTTCGATCCACCGTCACCTTGGCACGTAAAGCTTGGAGCAAGGCCTACTAAGGCCCACGCCGCACCCTTGCCCCGCTTCACCCGTCTCGGTGAAAGTGCCCAAGGCAGCTCGAACCAGCGAATTTTGAGCAGGCTTTCCAGGCTGGCACCTATGTTGCCCAGCCTAGGGTGGCTGCATTCGACTCCGCGTGGCGCAACACGCGGAGAACTGTAACGCAGGAAACATTGAGGCTGGCCGCACGTATTTTGAGCCAGGGCTTCCCAGGCTGGCACCTATGTTGCCCAGCCAGAGCGGCTGCATTCGAGTCAACCTCAAAACTACGAAAATGATCAAGGTTTGCTTTAGTTCTGGATGATCGCTTTTCCTTTGACAGCGATCATGGAAAGCGATAGGGGGCTGACGGATCGCTCCTGAAATTCAGACATGAGCATTTCTTATTGCACCATCCCTACGCAGGAAATATTGAGGCTGGCGCACATATTTTGAGACAGGGCTTTCCAGGCTGGCACCTATGTTGCCCAGCCTAGGGCGGCTACATGCAAGTCAACCTCAAGATCACCAAAGTTTGCTTTAGTTCTGGATTTGCAAATCTTCCTTGCCCCTACGCAGGAAATATTGAGGCTGGCGCACAATTTTTCAGCCAGGGCTTTCCAGGCTGGCACCTATGTTGCCCAGTCAGGAGGGCTGCTTTCGGGTCAACCTCAAGATTACCAAAGCCTGCTTTAGTTCTGGATTTTCGATTTTTCCTTGGAAAACGATCATGGAAAACGCTAGAGGGCTGACGGACAAAAAACGATACCCCTCACGGAGTGCAGATATGAGCATGTCTCATTGCACCGCAGAAAACAATAACATTGGAAATATTGAGGCTGGCGCACACATTTAATTTGAGCCATTCCAGGCTGGCACCTATGTTGCCCAGCCTGCTCTCATCCCTCACGTCGCCCCATGTGCGTGCACGGAGCAACCCGTGCTTAACGTGAGGACCAAGCATCCTGAGAGTCTCAGGCCCAAGTTATGAATCTTCGGGCCACGAAGCACTCGCAGGAGAGGCGCAAAACCATGGTGTCACCGTCTGCCCGCTGCATCTGTCTGGCCGTCTGCTCATGGGTACGTGGCCGAGTGCGTACGAGGCCGGGCGAGCTCGGCACAGGCTGGGGGCGCATGGCGCGCGGTGCATCGTAGGCGATGGCATCACTCGCACTCGGATCACTCGGATCGCCCGTCCGATGTCCAGCGGCTCAGCCATGTTTCGAGTGCTGGTAGCGGCACTTCTCGCACTCGGCCGGGCCTCGCTCATCGCCCGGGCCCCAAGCGCGCCAAGCGCAAACTCGGCGCATGTCGTGACATTGCAGAGGCCTACTTCGGCTCCGGCTGCCTGGAAGGCGAGACATGCGAGACGCGGGCAGAGGTACGCGCCGTGGATGCCAGGATCTCAGCGTGATGCGTATGACCTTTCGGACCCTGGACAGAACCCCCCAGGCCCAAGGTGGACACCGGAATGTCCGGGGCCACTCAAACTTCCAAGCCTCAGGTCTTGAGCGATGGCGGCATCATTCCCAACCCACGGCTGAACTTTGAGGTGGATGGCTTGCCAGTGTGGCTCACCGTCAAGGAGTCCCCGGAGGAGAAGTCGGGCCGAACGTCCCGGTTTTGGGAGCAGCCCCGTTTTGGCTTTAGATTTGGAGGCAAGGAACGCCGAACTCCAGTTGGGGGGCTCCACATCCGAAAAGACCAGCCATGTGGGAAGTGAATTCGCCACCCGCAACCGGCCCACCCTCCCCCCCCCCCGAAGTCCCGGAGGAGAAGTGCCTTTTTGTGGCCCTGGACCGAGTCGGCACGGGGTCGATCCAAGTCTATGTGGACCGCGGCAGTTCGCTGGACCGATTCCAGCTGGTGCAGTCCGTAGAATCCGCTGCGCCCGTCTTCGCAGCCCTAAGCCAGGAGATTAGGTTGAAAGAGAAACGAGCAAAAAGAACAAAAAGAGCAAACAAAGAAAGAAGGAAAGACGAAAAGAAAGAAAGAAAGAAAGAAAGAAAGGAAGGAAGGAAGGAAGGAAGGAAAGCAAGAGGAGAGAGAGAGAGAGAACACCCCAAGTTCTTTCCCCGAGTTCAGGACCAGCGGCACCTGGTGGTGGCCAACTCGGGCTCCGGGGGCTCCGGCGCCTCCGTGGCGGCCTTCGAGATCTCCGCGGGCTGCGCGCTGCACGCGGCGGATCTGGCGCCGCACCTGGGGTCCTCGGTGCACCCGGCGCAGCTGTCCGCGCACCCCTTGGGCCTGGTCGTCTCCCATAGGACGCACGGAGAAAAAGACACAGCTCACATGGATGTGGCTGAAATTTCAATTTGCCAAAATGGCACCTTGGTAAATGGAAGCGAAGACTAAGACCTGGTAACCCCAGCTCTTGAATTGTGAGCCACGCCCACATGTCCTTTTTGCGGGTGCCCTTTATCAGGTTGGGGAAAAAAGGGAAGCCCGTTTTTGAGATGTGTCGTATTGGGCTTAGGTCGGCCTTGAGGCTCGCTCTTTTGGCTTAGGATCTTTGCCTTCGATCTCGGCATGGACGCGATTGTGTCCTACAAGCATGTTGGTTGCAACGGGGCTTTTCTCCTATCCACGGCTTGTGTGACGCAAATCGCAGGAACATATTTTGGAATGCATGTCGTTTCACTTTCTTCATTCAACTGAACGGTTTTTATCTGATACCCAGCCCTACATCGACCCCGACCTCATACTATCACACTCAACTATCCCTAAAATAATCCTAAGCGCGAGAGCCGCCCAGCGTAGCACAGCGAATCCCGAGCATACAAAATCCCCACCGACATTTCCACCAAAAAACACATTGAGGCTTGAGGATGGCAAGTTTGCCGATGCGGTGCGAACGCAGGCCAGGATTCGGGAGGGAGCGCTCGCCAGCGTGCGTGCGTGTCAAGTCGTCTACGGCTCAGGTTCCGCCCGGCCTGGGGCCCCGGCGTGGTGTTCAGCACCCCAATTTGCCGCTGCTCTACGTGCTCTGTGAGCTCGGCCAGAGCATCCTGATCTATCAGGACTGCCCGGCTCGGACCGGGTTGTGCAGCACGGCGAGCATGCCAGGAGCACGCTGGCAACCTGCGCCTCCTCCAGATGGTTGCCTTGACCGATGAAGAGGGCAAAGCTGGGGACATCCTCATTTCGGACTCGGGCAACACGATCTATGCCACAAACAGAGGTGACAAGAAAGAGGCTAACACGGCTATTCAGCTGCACGCGCAGTGATGGTTTTGACTCTGCAAATGTGACGCGCCAAGGTGTCCGTCTTCAGCGTGCTGGAGAACGGGCACCTGAAGGCGCGCCCCTCCTTGGCCGTCGCTTCAGACAGAACGACCAACGCGCTGTGCGGTTCCGACTGGCCTCACTCAGCTTGCGCGCGGACCCGCATGGAGCTGGATTGAACTCACATGCGCAGGCTGTCCAGAAGGTCCCGGCGCCATATCCCGGCGGCATCTCGTGCCTCAGACACGAATTCCCGAGTCTCAAACCTTGCGGGCCTCAAGGCCTGAAGGGCCAAAGGGCAGGCTGGGCGTGCCTTCCTGCCCAGGCTCGTGTACAACAGCGTGCTGCTGGTGACCGGCCAAGCCGACAGCAACATAGCCATTTATGCCATCGAGGGGGAAGGCGCCGCGGCACGGAAGATGAACCATGGGACTCTTCGGGGGCCCGACATTGTTCAGCACCCGCAGCATTCGAAGAGGAATTTCGGGATAGTCGGGCGTTCTTTTGCGGCACGTTTCTTGGAAATTACTGCACGCACACGCACCCCCTTTCTTTTTTTTCCCGCTGTTTCATTTCGGGCGGCGCTGGTTGCGGCTTTAGGGCTGTGTAGGTATTCATGCTGCCCCTTCTTCCTTTCGTCCTTTCTTCCTTCCTTTCTTCCTTTCTTCCTTTCTTCCTTTCTTCCTTTCTTGCTTTCTTGCTTTCTTCCTTTCTTCCTTCTTTCATCCCTTTCTTTTGCTTGCTTGCTTGCTTGCTTGCTTGCTTGCTTGCTTGCTTGCTTGCTTGCTTGCTTGCTTGCTTGCTTGCTTGCTTGCTTGCTTGCTTGCTTGAAAGGAAAATCTTCGTTCAATTGTTTTTCTTCTCCCGCTCCTTCTCTCTCTCTCTCACTCACTCTCTCACTCTCTCACTCTCTCTCTCTCCCCCTCCCTCCCCCTTTCTATCTCCATCGCTATGGCTATCACTACCACGGAATCTTTATCTCTATCTCTCTATCACTCTTTCTTTGCGTCTCTCTTTCTATCTTTCTATCTCGCTATCCGTCTGTCTCTCCAACTCTCCATCTCTCGCCGTCTCTCGCCGTCTCTCTCCATCTCTCTTTATTTCTCTCTCTCTCTCTCTCTCTTTCTTTCTTTCTTTCTTTCTTTCTTTCTTTCTTTCTTTCTTTCTTTCTTTCTTTCTTTCTTTCTTTTGTTGTGTCAATCTCCCTTTGTCTCTTTCCCATTTTCTCTGCATGCCAGTCTTTCATGTTCCTTTGGGGCGCCCCATTGAGAATTGGTCCCTGCAAGGAAGCTTTCTAATAATTTACTTTGGCGCAGCGCCGTCAGGGATTCCCGACCAGTTCTTCTCATGCTCACCCCGGCGCAGCGCTTCACTGTAATTCACTTCCTCCCTGTTGCTCATTCTGACACGTCATGTTGTTGACAGGGCCAGAGTCTCACAGAGGCACGGGCGTGCGAGGCAAACTGAAGCAAACCTACACGGCGCAGATGGGCCTGCCCAGAAATCCTTCGGCGATTCTAGTGTTGCATGAGCCGTCTGGCGAGCTGTGACTGTGACTCAGCGCGCGTCGAAAGTCACGTTTCATTTCCGTTGAATTGATGCGGTGCTCGGCTGGCTCCAAGAGCACAGTCGCAGACCATGTTTAGCGACCTGCAACTGGCTGCTTCGGTTGTGACCTCGCCGGAATCGTTGTTCAAATAATTTTAAGGGCAACTCACGTCAAATACGAAGCCGAAGTACTGCGAGTTGTTTTCCAGGCCTGATGCTTGTGAGGTGCACACTGCGTGTGCACAAGACTAATTGGAAAACACCGAATTTATTTGCAGTTCATGTTAGTCGCTTCACTTGCATTCAGGCGTCTGCTCAAGATAAGAGCGGTTGCACAGAGCACGATTGGAACGAGAGCTTTCTCCATTTTGTGCTGCGTCCGGGGGTTGGTCACCCCAGCGTTTCTTTCATGGCTGCCTTCCCGAGTGCAAGCGTTACAGGCCTGGCGTTCAGCTTTTGACCGCTTCCAGACATGAATCCCTTCAGACCCGTTCGGATTGGGTGAGATGCAGACGGCCAGAAGGAGAATGAGGCGCTTAGGTCACTTAGGTAATCAGCCTCTTCTCTCAAGCAACCAAATTGCACAGCAAGCTTGCCAAGCTGTCTTCGGAGAAGAGGATTAGGACGTGCCAGGTCAAAGAGATCTGGGGCATGCGTAGAAGAACTTGACATGTTTGAGTTGCCATCCCGCTAGTCGAACCGGCCAAATTTGCCGACTTGACCAAAACCATGGCTGGAGCAGAGGAGTTGCAAGCGCGGCAAACGTCTTTGCGTCGGGCCCCGCAGTCAGGTCAGGCACATGGAAGCAGCATTGGGCGTTTGAGGTGCTGAATGTGAGAGAGAGGGAGTGTGTGTGGGTGTGTGTGCGTCTGTGTGTCCGTGTGCATACATTTGGCTTCCTTACGCCCGTTTGGGCTAATCAATGAAGTAAAACTTCATGAGATGCTTATCCGGGTGTTTCTCGAAATTGGGGATCCGCTTTAAGGACACCCAGGAGATCAGAAGGACACCAACCTGGTCCCGAGTTTGGAGAAACACAGGCGGAAAGAATTCACCACCATCCTAGAATTTGGATCCCCCCCAGCAAGGGAAATCCACAAGAAGCAAGCTGCATCGAAAGCAATCAACACAGGTGTGTTTCCGAAGCCCAGTAAATCAGGTGGGCAACCTGTAGGCTTGCAACGAGAATGAGTACAGAGAAACCAAGGCCTAGGCAAAACCTCGACACCTCCGGCTCTCGCGAAGCAAAGCGCATCGCGCAAATGCGTCACGTTTATCCTCGGCTCTGTGCGTGAGAAGGTGCCGAAGTTTGCTTGAGGATTTTCGGGTTTTCCAAGGCACCGGTCGAAG